GGAACCTCCGGTCTTAGCTCCGACCTCGGACTTTGACCCCACCTCCGCTTATACCCATTGTATTGGTTAGCTCATTCCATTTAATTACGTTTGCCAATATTCCGGAGTTTAACTTCCGAGTTCAGACTTTCCAGACTTACCTCGGACCTTGCAACTATTGCATTGTCCTATTCAATTCCGCTATTCTCCCTCATTCCTATTTGGGCTGCTGCTTCCTTTCTATTCAGTCAGCTAGCCATTCCCCACTCCCAACCCCCTTCCTTCCTCCTTGGCCTTGGCCCTTCATTCCTCCTTTGAGAAACACCATTGAGTCAAACCCTGTCAGGGCACACCCGCCCGACCCCGCACCCCGCGCCGCACTACCCTACTCCGCTCCCCCGATATCACCCCCCGAGTCTCTTTCCTCACTTTTCCCCTTTCTCTCTCTTTTTATTCTACGGTCAATTTCCCTTTTCTCTATGTATGTCAGGGCACGCCCGCCTGACCCGGCCCCACCTAACCCGGTGCCCCACCATCCACTCCTCCCAACCTCCCCCCTCTTCCCCTTTTCTCCCTTCCCTTCCTTCCTCTCCTTCTTTTCTATTCTCTCTCCTCTTTATTCCTTTCTTATCACACGGACGACTTCCTTTGTATCAATGTACCATTGACCCGGCCACAGCGTAACGCGCCCGAACCCGGACACACCGGACGACCCCCCGCACACCGGACGCTCCTAGGACCTCTTACGGAGGTACCCAGACAGAGGTGGCTGTGTGCTCGGATGACGTGGCGCTTCCCACGTGGCCTTCAACCACATGTATATAAACACAGCCTAAGTGGGAACTGAGAAGCAACCTTCTTCTCACATTTCCCACTTTAGGCAAGTAGCTTACACTTCCTTGATAATGACAATAACACATTTCCCACTTTAGTCTTAGTGGCCAGGGACCCTTGTCTGCTTCGGGCCTGCTGCTATGCGCGCCCGCGTCATACCTACCGGACCCTCAGCCTCGGGCGATACACCCGGGCGCTCTCGACCCCGGGTCGGTCCCTGACAATGTACCACTACACACCTAACCCCTTTCCCCCGATCGCCGCACGCGCCGCACACACTCCTGCCTACCGAGCGGCTGTCATGACCCGACATATCCGACACTTCCCTCTACGCGTCCTAGTGTCACTTGGCCCATCCCTCCCGCTATCATCATCATCCGTCCACCCATCCGTCCACCCGTCACCCTCATCCGCACTTCCTCCCTCGCGCGCGTACCTCCCAACCTAGGTTGCCCGCTTCATTGTTGTCCGCCCCCAGCCGGACGGCTTGCTAGACGGCCGGATGGCCTTTTCTCTTTTGTCCACTTGCGGACTATTGTTCCTCCTATTGTTCCTTGCTTTCCTTTTGTTGACCAAGTTTGCCGATATTGATTATTTGTTCCTTTCTTCATTCATTAATATCGCGCTTGATCCGCCACTCCTTCCGGGCCGCTCTCATTTAGTTACTTGTGTTTATAACGCATGTAGGTTACACCGGATGTACCTCAGTTCGTATATCGACTTGGATTCCCCCTCTAACTCTTATCCTCATCGTAAGGCTTCTGTCTGAAATTGGGACACCAACGTAAGAACGAAGCGCAGCGCTCCACCTGAGTCGCTGAAGCTAAAGTCCCGCCCCTCCGACCTTACGAGCCCGGATGACCTCGCGTGCCTCGCGGGTCACCCGGATACGCTTCTGGCACGTTCCTGACAGCGGCCACCTCCGGGATCTCCCGCGGAGACACCCGGGGAGGTGCGGCTGTGCGCGGAGATGACGTGGCCTCCTCCACGTGACCCTGACCGCATGTATATAATAGTGCCTGGGGTGGGAACAGAAGAAGCAGCCTTCTTCTCAACTTCCCACTTCAGGTAAATACCATAGCTTCTTCCTTTTAATGATAAACCAACTTCCCACTTCAGACCAAGTGGTCGGGGACGCTCACCCCGCGACGGGACCGCCGCTACGCATAGCCGACATCTGTCCCATCGAGTCCCTCGCGCCGGGACCTCGCCGCTCTCGGAGCTGTCCCTGACAAACCCTTGACCCTCGGTGTTGTTCCTCTTTCCATCTCCCTTTGTCTCCTTTCATCCTACCCTCGCTCCTTTTGATTCCGGACCCCTCCTTATATACAATGTACATAGTAAATTGTAACCTCAGTCCGAAATCGACATGAATTCCCCCCAAGAGACTTTCCCTCTGCTAGATCCGAAATTAGGGACCCCTAGGACAACCAGCAATGGCACAGCGCTCCGCATGAGTCGCTGAGGCTGAGGTCCTTCCACGCTAAGTCTCCAATTCCACTCCAGAGTCGTCCAAGTCTGCCCATTCTAACATGAGCCATACATATGTAAATACAGTTGTTTTACATTGTATACAAAGAATAAAGATCAAATAAAGAAAGCACGCTTTGCACACATCACCGCTCTACCACCCATCCCTTACAGACACCCTATGCTCCTTTGTTATTTATCCATTGTTGTTTGTTCTGACCCACAGTTATTGCTGGCTGCTATGCAGCCAACCCTGCTCTTTGCTTCCAGTAGCTTCTGGACCCTTTGGCCTTCAGCCTGGGTCTGCTTCTACCCATTCTTTCTCCCTATATATATCCTTTATTGTACTTCAGCTCTGATATTGATTTCATCACAACTGTCAGAGACCAGATTTGAGACGAGGGAGAGTCTCTGTGATGGAGGGCTTTGGCCTCAGCGACTTATGCCAAGAGCACTGTGCCTAGTGACACGTCCGTGCCCTAACTTACTGACTGGCAATCAGAACTGAAGGGGGGTAACTCTAGTTGATTTTATTACTGGAGTGTAACCTATGTACAAGTTGGATATATATATGGTTACAGTGAAGACGGGTCCGCAATTGGCGGAGCCGAACGGAGCGGAGCTAACGGGGTTAAACATTAGCTGACTGAATATTACCGACGAGTCGGGTCGTGGGGTTAGTGGAAAGGCAGGCAATAACCCAGAAACGGAAAGAGGGATAGGCCTGAAGGTGGGCTCTGCAGGGCAGGCGAGTGTATTGCCCAGCAGAGGCGGGAGTGCGCTAGCAGACGTCGGAGCTGTCCGGAAGTCTTCGGGGCTCCATACTTAGGGAGGCGTAGGTAATAAATTGAAATGAGGGGGTGGTGACCATCGAGGGGTACCGAGAGGGTTGCGGAATACGGGAGCTCCGAGGTTAGTGAGGAAGGAGTGGAGTTAGACCAGAGGGATCGGAGGGACCGGAAGTCGATGGCCGGGGATGGATATGACAACAACCTCTTGCTCTGGACCCTGACAAGGCAAGCTAAATAACATGAAATGAGGGCCAGGAGACAACTAGGGGGCACAGTGCTCCTTTAGAATTGCTGAGGCCAAATGCCCTACCCTTGGGCCTTGTCCCCTCAATACCGGTATCTGTCATGGACCTCTCAGCGCTAACAAGCATGGGAACAGAATGGAGCAAAGCAAGAGTTGTGAGATCACAAGTCACAAGTCACAAGTCACAAGATCACAAGAAGTCAATTCAGGTTGGCAACGGGTGTTGACCAGTTGAAGAATCCATCTTCACTGGTCAACTCCTTATATGCATGAAAACAGGCTAAGACATGTGAGATGAAACAAGAAAACAAGAGAGACATCCAAGTCATACAGGTAATTGCAAAGCCACATGAATTGAGATGGAACTGAAATAGGCAAGACATGTGAGACATCCATCAAGTCCATTTGGGGTTACAGCTTAACCATAACAGTATCTGCAGCCAAGTAGCAGCCTGCACAGCCCCACATGGCCAGCCTGCACAACCTCGGCACTGGCCCCAGATCAGTATCTAACAGGAATGCAGGCAACATTGAAACATCTAACACATCAGTAATGGATGTGAGCATGATACATGTACTGGCACATCATCATGGCTTGTTCATCCAACAGGTCACACTGGCCAAATTGGATCATCAAAGTCCCAGTCATAGACATCTCTTGGCCATTGACAAGCCAATCACCTCAAATCAGTGACCAAGTGCTGCACTGCCACACCATAAGTCATCCCACTACTGTTGCTTGTCCACCTGCTATATTGACACTCACTGTCATGGCCCCGCAAAGTCTCCACCCTTCTACCACTTTCTGCACCCCCATTCTTGTGCCCATTACTCACGCCCGTTAATCTCACCATTGCCCATCACTTAGCGGTGCCGATAGTGGTTCCCGTTCTACGGCCCTGTAGCAGTGCCTCCTTCATTCCCCGCCACCACTTGAGTTCCTCAGCCATTCAGCCGATACCATTTTATTCTTACTCATTCGTAACTAACTAGCGGCGATATGGTCGCTGCTGATCTGCTCCTTATTGACATTTGGTTTATTCCTTTATTGACAATTGGTTATTCCTTTATTGACATTTGATTTATTCGTATATTGACATTCTGATCTGCCACCATATTGGCGTCTAGATTATCGGCCTATTCATTCTGCCTCCCAACTTTGCCGTCCTCTGTTCCATTCATTTCTTCTGTTCCATTTCCCTGGTCCTCATCGCTCTTTTAGTTCTGTCGTACTTACCATCCCACTCCCATCCCATGCGGACTGACTGGCCCCTTCTCTGTTCTCCTTTTGTATTTATACTTGTAGTTTACTGTCGTTGTACCTTAGTTCGAATATCGACTAGAATTCCCCCCCCAGTACTCTCATCCTAAGTTCACCTCTCAACTTCATCCCTGCTTAAGTCAACATCACCGCAAGGTCTCTCCCACTAACGTGAAATATGGGACAGCCTAGAACGCGTGGCGCAACGCTCTAGCCAAGTCGTTGAAGCCGAAGTCCCAACCCCCACGACGCCTTGCAACGGAGTAGCTCATTAGCTAAGTGACCACTCACGCCACCGTACTCCGCTCCGCTTCCCGCGATCACCTCGAATACAGTTTCTGACACTCACCAGCTATAGCCCCAAGCCCACAAGGTGCTACCCTCACTGCTGCTCCTGCCGCTCCTGCCGCTCCCACAACCGTCACTGCTGCTTCCGCTGCTCCTGCTGCTCCTGCTGCTCCTGCTGCTCCTGCTGCTCCTGCACCCACCGCTCCTGCCGCATCTGCTGCTCCCATGCCTGCTGCTCCCACCTCTCCTGCTGCTCCCGCTCCTGCCACTGCTCCTCCAACCGCTGCTCCTCCAACCGCTGCTCCTCCAACCGCTGCTCCTCCAACCGCTGCTCCTCCAACCGCTGCTCCTCCAACTGCTCCCGCTGCTCCTGCCACTCCCACTCCTGCAGCTGCAGCCCCTGCCCCCGCAGCAGCCAAATGGAAACCTGGCCCACTGGAGAATTACCAGAAGGGTTCAAAGTGGGTGTGACCCACCCCTGCACTACCCTGAAACTAACCCAAAACTGTCCAGACAGTTGAGGCGCAACTGCATCCGCACGTGATGGAGTTGTGTGCTAGTTTTGCATTAGTTTTGTCCTAGTTTTGCCTTCATGAATCACCCTATTGACCAAAGATGCCCTTTTCATTCATTACCACAAAATGACCAATGGCTAGAATCACATGCTCCACCAGGGTACATACTCCTTACAGAGTCCCACATAAATCCTTCATCAGGCTCAAACATATCAGGGACACCCTGTGACATCTTCAGCAATTCATTAGGGCGTTTCACGGTTGACTGAAGTCAGCTGAATTGCATCTGAAGTGAAATTCCTAAAGTGACACGTGAGTGACAAAACTCGATCTTAACTCATTCTAAACTGACGACTTTGACTTGGGGCTCAAGTCCCCCAACTGGCCTAAAGTCGATTTTCTAAAGTCAGTCTAAATTCGGCCTTATACATAAGTCCGCAAATCTTGCTGTACAGTTCTCCGCTTTAGGTCACCTGTCCCTTTGCACGTTTTCCCTCACCCCTCATCACCCCACCCCATCACCGTCACCACCATCTCACTTCCCAAACCATGCCAGCCAAACGAAAAAACCCTGAGGGTTCGGTCCCTCAGCTACGATCAGGGCGCCGCTCACGTACAACAACGGACAATGAGTCTGCCAGTGCCACCCCACCCATGGTTGCCATCAAGGCTGAAATTAAGTCTGAGCCTCGCACTCCAAAGGTTCAATGGGACACCAATGAACGCTGGACAGAGCGCCTAATTGAATATCTCACAAACCACCTTGATGTTCGACTGAAAATGTTCAGTGATTCTGTCAAGGATGCAAGGAAGGAGTCACGGAAAAAGGTGAGCATCTAATATGATGCCTTTCAACTCTCACCACTCACTATCACCTAGGTTGTCGGTAGCAAACCCAAAGTTGAATATTACCGTGAGATAGCAAAGGCTGTCTTTGATGTTGAAGGGGAACCGGATCACGGCGCTTATTTAATGGAACCTGAGCGCTATGCAACCTCTGTCTTAGGTCGGATCACTTAGTAAGTTTATTAGTTGCTGAGGTCACTGTAGCTCATCTAGTATTCTCCCAATTGTAGTTTACAGAAGACATACACCGGATATCGCAAAATGCTACAGCAGACCGGTGAGGGCCTCAAAGATGAGGATGAGGATAAGAATGAAATGCACAGAAACCAGCTAGGTAGCGTACATGTCAATTACTTGGTACACTGCTTATTTTCTCATTTTTGAAGAGATGATTCGTGCATCTTTCCCGTGGTGGAACACACTGCATGGATGGTGGTCAGAGCATCCAAAATACGCATTCCAGATGGTAACAAACTCAACAAGCGGCACTGGGAAGATGGTAAGTGATTTTGAACAAGCCGTCTTTGTGCCTCCAGAGCAAGTTGCTGCACCCATTGAGACCAATACCTCCCGTCCACCTTCACCACCAGCCATCGTAAATGCACCGCTTTCCCATGTCAACTCACCAATTTCTTGGGCCGAACCACCACCTCAGGTTGACATGGGACTTCTTAATACAGACACCACCCTTTTTCGCATGGAGTCGCCCACTGGTTTTCCACTCTCCCTTCCAGACTCGCAGCTCCCTGATGTCAAGCCAGGGATTAATGCAGAAGACTCAAGTGTGTCTTCATCTCATACACTGGCAAGGTCAACCCCAGGGCCTGCCACACTCAAGTCCAAGGTTGACTTGACGCTCACGGCTTCACGCACATCAGGGTCAAAGGGCTGCAAAGATTTTATTGCTGATTTCCATGAGGCAGCACGGGTTGATCAGGTTCAAGCTCAACAAGAGGCTGAATACCATCATGTACAGCAGATGGCACGGCTTGAGCTCAAGAGAGAAAAGATGCACCGTAAATTTGAAATTGAGTCGCTCAGGCTTCAGTTACAACTTGCGCAGGTCCAGTCACAGCCACAGCAGCAGCAACAAACAGCAGCAACAAAGCAGCAGCAACAGCCACAACAACAGCATGATCCCACATTTGATTTTGGGAGTCTCAATTTTTAGATTTCTTTATGCTCAGTGTGAAAAAACCACAAAAAATTCATCTTCATACTCATACACACGTAGTACAAATATTTGAATATGAAAATTTTAGTAGAGAGCATCAAAAAGAGCTGCCTGTACAAGACGGCGCTTCCGGTGCCCTTCCGATTCTCGGGGCAGTGACGACCCTGCTCCACCCCAGGTGAAACCTGCAACTGGTTCATCATCCTCACTATCATCTTCACCACTCCTGCCCTCCTCAACCCATTCCCAGAAATCACTTTCATACTCCTCATCTTCAACATGCGCTGCAAAAGAGTGGATGATCAAACATGTGCGGACCCATGCAAGCGAAAGTACATAATCGCGCTCTGAATTGATCTGTTGACGGAGTCCACAAAGTGACTGGAAGTGACCTTTGAGGTACCCCACAGCATGTTCTGACCTTATGCGCACCTGTAAAGGGGGGCGTTTGAATCATGAATGATCATGAGAGGTCTTGGAAATAACTCACCATAGATAAATGATAGTTGAATTGGCGGTTTGATGCTGCAAGTGATTGTGCCGCTTGTAAGGCACCATACACCATGGGGAAAGTGCATATGCAGAGTCGGCCCACAACCATTCACCGTTGCGGAAAAGCTGGTCAGATTCTTTGAATGCACGGGATTCCTTGAATGCTGTTGAGTCGTGCATACTGCCAGGGGGGCCAAGCACATAGTCGATGATGCATAGGTTTGGTAATGTTACAAGCTAAAAGGATATTAATACCGGTGTTCCACATATATATATAAATTGATAGTAATCCACATACCGTAAGACTGAGAGAATAGTTGGACTTCCGGTCAAAAAACTGCTCCCCAAAATGTCCTGGTTTGGATGCGAGAGGGAGAAGAGTACCATCCACCATACAAAAACCCGGCCTCCATGCATGACAAGACACACTCTCCACCCAGTCCGATGCCTCCCGCTTCTCAGCTGCATTTGGCCATTGAATGGCCTGGTTATGCAGCGGCAAAAAGGCCATGATAACACGATGTGTGGCCTTGACAACCATGCCTGCACTGCAGCCTGCCCACTGTGCAACGGCATCAACAGATGCTGCATTGCCGAAATGGCCAAACCGATAGAGAGCAATTGCAAGCTGGCAATCAACAGGCCACTGGTCATTCCTGGAGCTGTTTTGGAAACATGGGTGGGCCTGGATGAGGGAGACGAGGATGTTGAATGTGTGAGGTGAGACACGTAGATTTTGACGGAAGCGGGGGGGGTCATCTTCTTTATAGCACAAAAGAATAAGCGCTAACTGGCTGCATTTCGGGACATCATGTGGAAAAAGGACTCGGGTGGAAAGGAGAGTGGAGAGGAAAAGTCGCACCCGAAACATGGACCGCCTGAATGAGCGATGTAGGGACTGCAGTGCTTGGTTGCATTCAGCAACCGATGACAAGTTGGATGGCTGGGAGATGTTGCCGGTGTTACCATTGCCAGTGTCAGTGTTGTCGTCGCTGCTGCTGCTGCTGCTGCTGCTGTTGGTCATTGTTGATGTGGAGGTTGAACTGGTATCCGGGTTACTAGTGTTGTCAGAGGATGTGCTGGAGTTAACAGAGTCGGTACCCTTTAGTCTGAGAGTTCGGCATTGTTGATAGTAACATGCACGGAGCCGGTGGGCATGCTGGATGGTAGAATGGATGAGTCGCTTGCGATCAGAAGGAACGGGCATTAGAGTGGCTAATTACATAATAGGAACATAGAGGATATGGGTGACGGACTTACCCAACCCACTTTGGATGCACTTTAGAGGCTTGTACTGTGAACGCCCAACTGGAGCATCTAAACTGGACCCAAAGTCGCTCTAAACTTGGGTCGCACGTGAGTCAAATTTTGTCCATTTTAGATCCAATTCATAATCCAGTTTAGACCCACTTCAGCGAACTGTGAAACTCCCTATTGTATGTTCCCTCATCCTGGGACCGAATGGTGTGAAAAGTCTTTGAAGAAGCCCCGGTACACCAGATATCAAATGAGGTGAAGGCACTCATCCGGAACTGCCTTGATGGCTGCATCCGTCCGGGTGGCGCTATAGTAGAGACACTGGATTCCTTCGATGCCAGTGCAGTCACCATTCAAATCACTGGGGGTGGTTTTATTGATTTGGTGAAAATTCCAAGCTTGAACGGGTCCATCTTGTCAAATAGGTCTTGCAACGGTCTGGTGTTGTAAGAGCGATCATTCTTCGACTGTATCATGAAGACAGTCATATTGTCCTTTTGCAGTACCGTGCCTTTGTAGAGAATTGGGATGACCACATCAACGCCACGTTGATTATCCGCACAGACAACTCCGACGCCCCGAACAGCAAGCTTAAAGAGATACTGAACAGAGAGTACCTTGAAATCATGAACCTTGATAAAATACGTAACGTAGATGCGTGAGTTCTTGAATGTCGCAGCAAATGTTTTTTTGCGACTGTATGTCATTGAGGGCAAAGAATCCTTGATCGACCTGTCGTAGATCCCGCGGGCAAAGAGAGCCTTGAACAACGAGGTCACTGGGACCCCCCCTGGCTTCCATTCCCCTTCCCTAGACATAAGGCCATCTAGGGTGTCGATAATAATGTTGCAGATAACGAGTTCTCCCCGATCTCCCTCACTCAGTCCAGGCCACTGCAATATGTCTCGTAACATCTGACAGGACGGGACCTTATTTCGGATGGTGCACAAGATGGTAGCCGCGGCCTCAGTGAGGATCGGCTCCGACGCTGCAACCGTGACGACAGACTCAAACCCTTCCTTGACACTCAAGCATACGCGCATGTGCTTCTCGACTTGAGTCATCTGGTTCCTGTTTGCCAACGGTCGATGCTGACCAACGTAAATGCTCGTATCGAAGTCCAGCACAAGACGACGAGACATCACGGCAAACCGTTCCTCAGGGGCCAAGTCGTCCCTTTTCCATGCACGACAGAGAAGTTTTTCGATAGCAAATACGGTGATCGTGTCTTTGACGTGTTTTCCGCCCTCTTGGTAACGTGTTATCCATCTACGATGACATGAAGCCATGATAGCGAAGAAAGATCTGGGAGAACGTACAAGGTAACGCAGTGACATCATTCAGAGTCATGCCCTCATGAAATTCCATCGCCATGTGATCGAAACCCAGTGCGCTGAACGGTTTGACACTGGCAAGTTGACCTCGGAGGATGCGGCTCGATGGATCATGGGAATGTGGAGGGGAGAACTGGTCAGATTTTCCTGTTGTAGATAAGAAGAGGCTCCAGATAGGGAACGACCATAAACCCCGCAATGCGCGTCTCAACGATGTGAATTGGGTCGGCCCTCTACCAGTATATGAAAGCGCCAAGGTGTGGGCTTCATCGAACGCCAAACTCAATATGGGAGTACGCTGCGCTTTGAGCTCGAATTCACCGTCGATCTTCGCTAATACTGTTTTGACGACAGAATCAAGTTCAACCTGCCGGGAAAGACCGTCTGTGCTTGTGAACTTCCCGGGCGGTGTTTTCTTTTCTGTAGGAGTCATCGGCCTGTTATATAGCTGCCTCGATGGTGAGTGACATAGTGGCGACACAGAACAGAGACTTGCCTCGTTCGCTCTCGCCACCACGTCGTCGTAAAATTTTACACGTAGAGGAGCTTGTTTACTAAACCGCTGTCCAACTGTCATAAAAAGTCGAAACTGCCCGGCAAGGGAACTAGGATACTCCAATAATGCGGCCGACTTCTCGGCCTCCGAGAGCTCAGAAGAGTCGCGGATACTTGATTGCAGTGTTCCAATGACGTCGGATAATTTCTCGAACAACGCAGTGAGAAATGCGCTGAAACGAGCATCGTTTTCATGTTCTTTGAAGCCAGGGGCTAAGAACCAAAGCAAGATATTTTCGTCAGGAGCCGGATATCCTAAATTGAAACATTATAATCACACAAATGAAGAATACAAGAAGAGAATATCACCTCCATATCCCACACGGAGATTGAAAGGGACAACAAAGTTGTGCTTGGAGAACTCGTCGACCATTCGCGATTTTCCCATGCCAGAGGACTGTACGATTGGTAAGAGGGGAGCATATGCATGAGGAATATTTTGTCCCGTCATGTACTGGTAAAGAATGTCGGCGGCGTTTCCTCTGTAACTGGAAGACCACGACTTGACCGACGCTGGAACGGGTTCGGAAAAGAATAACACAAGCAAGCAACGCTCCACCCACCATCTTCAGATGATTGAGAATCAAGTATCGCATCAGGGTTGGCAGAACCCACAGGCTGGACAGTTGGACGAAGAATTTCTGTAACGATCACAGTTTATCAGAACCATCCAATAACAGCCAAACCTTCTGGTTCATACCCAAGTTTCGTATCTCCTTGAACGATTGAGCGTTCCATGCATCATCTAACTTAGGACCCAACTCCGGATGTGTGATTGAAACTGTCGGTAACGTTTTCGAGTTGAGTAGTCCGGCTGATTGGTTGACAATTGTTTGAGAAGAAGAAGACGAAAGTCTTCGCGGGGAAGTTTGACAAAATCGCCCACGAACTCGACGACACGTGCGTCAAGCATTTCGTGGGTAGCTTCGTCCAGGACATTGGGACGAACCGCGAGAGTCGCCATGGGTGCATATTTAGAGGAGGGCTCACCCATTGGCGGCCCAACCTCCAAATTGGATTTCGTCTGATCCACAGATACGTTACTTGAGAGCGAGACTTGAATTTTGCGACTACCGTGCGGATGTTGCTGGGGAGGCGTCAATTGGGGGGGGTCTCCTGAAAATCCATCGTGGTCTTGTACTTGTACCACGCCGTGCGTCGCTGCTTCGGCGTCAGGTACTCCCAGTTCCGCGAAGGTGGCTTCCACCGACAAACCTCCGATGTGCACAGGTTCTTCTTCCATTAGTGTTTCTGGGTCAACTGGAATGGCTCGGGCGCGCCACGGAGAGGCCTCCGCGGCGGGCTACTTGTGTAAATCTGTCCGTTCGCGTCGGATGGATGAATGGATGTATTCATTTCAAAGTAAATACAGTTGTTTTATGTACATTACAGTAAGAATGAACATTCCTGCATCCACCACGGATTCCTTACAATACCATAGGCTAGTTAGTCGACAACGAGCACACAATTTAGACTGGGGAAAAGTACATACCACGCAAGCCACAATCCAGCGAACAAACGAAGCCCCCCTCATGCCCTAAATGAAGGCGACTCAACAACGTAGTACCCGTCTACAGACTTAGAAGCATGTTGTAATATATTTCGTTCCTCCGATACTTGTGGTGCAGACGACTCGTTATTCAAGTCTGGGGCATCGATTGGCCGGCCTTGTGTCCATACACGTCCATCAGGAATGCTAGTGCCCCGGGTGGAGCTTACGTCCACAAGCTTCACCGCTTCTACGAGACGAATGAGTTCCTCCAGTTGGTGTTTGCGCTCAGAATAGGCGTGCGAATCGAGAGGGGGTGGAATGAGTGCAGAAACCCGGTGAAGCTTTACCAGCGTCGCATCCGATATCTTGGGTGCTGGATAGGTGGACAATAGTTCGTGAACAGACCATGTGGGGCGAATGCAGCGCTTCAGGGTATCATCTCGTGCATCAACCACATCCGAAAGAGGAGTTGCGGAGTTTCTCAGAAAATGAGTATTTCTCAATGAAATTCCACCAAGACGCCATGAGCACTGGCGGCTTGATGCATTCGTAAGAGGCGAAACCGGGTATCGCATCGACTGAGCTTCTGCAGCCTCGACGGAAACAATTGTACAGTAAACAACGTCAAAAAGTCTCTATTGAATCATTCGCTCCGCTTTAGCTCGACACAATCTCGAGGACCACACTTCGGAAGTTACACGCCAGATAATCCCTCTGCATATAGCCGTGGTGCCACGTAATCACGAGGCTGCGGGGTAATATACCACCACCACCACTGCGCTAGCGCTTGCAAGCGCGTCAACACTTTCCATTTCCCCACCATGTCTTCCTTCTCACAAAAGCTTCTGAACCAAATTCTCCCTGGTTCTGTCCATCTCAAGCAGACCCAAACGCTTTACCAAACTTTATCCCGCCTGCCACAAGATGGTGTCGGCTCTCACCTCCGTCAGGTCCGATGGGACAGACTCAACCGACACGACACGTATTGGATGATCACGCGAGTCAAACTAAAGAACGATGGAAGGCATGGGAAAGCATGGGGCATGTTTGTATACAAAGGTGTGTGTGCTGCATGCAGCGTCAAAAATCGTAGGACATATTGGCGCTCATGAAAAATACTCTTTGAATTTACTCTTCATGATATTCCACTAGGCAAGCCCATTAGTCAGAGAGATGAACTGATAAGAGGAGGGCTTAAATGGCGTTGGAGGGAAATGACCTCATCTGAGCTAGCTGATCGGACACCCGTCACACCTGCCCCGACAACGCAGGCGACATAGTACGTTATTCCCTCTACAATAAGCACATACGCCACAGAACCTTCGAAAGAAAACATAAATTCCTCACCGTCGGAGAAGCGGGAATCATTGCGTCGGATCACATAACGGCCCCATGGATACTGTGCACCATGGGTTCTCGTATAGTATGCTACATATCAATGGTGAATTCTACTCCTAGATAGCCACAAACCGATGGACTTCTTGGCAGGGCACAAGTGGATTCGTTTGGCGTAACGTCGGAATAATGTACAAATCGTTCTTGGTGAAATATTCATACCACCCACATATCAACAACACAGCGGATACAATCTCCGGTCTGAGAAGGAAAACAAATCAAATTCGCACCTGCACCAGAAGGCCTGAACACTCACATGCATATCATGGAACCCCTCATTGATATCCTTCAGAGTTCGCTGATGTGTAATGTATTCGTCGACCTTCATCTTTCCCGCAAGATAGTCTTCGACCAAACCAGGAAGCTCCGTACGGCCCTTGATGCCACCGAAAGCGGTACCACGCCAAGTACGACCAGTGACGAGCTGGAAAGGACGAGTAGATATCTCCGCCCCGGCAGGCGCCACGCCAATTATGGTCGAGATGCCCCAGCCTTTATGACACGCCTCGAGGGCAACACGCATTACATCCACCTGTCGAAGCCGACTGAGGATGCTATGAATACTCATCTACATAAGAGAGACGCACATTTCCTGTGCCATCGAACGTGAAGTCTAGACCGCCATCCGTAATCTCGACGAGATGATCCTGAATCCTCTTTGCGCCCAAATCATTAGGGTTTATGAACTCGTGAGCGCCAAACTTCTTTGCCCATGATTCTTTGTTAGGGTTCGTGTCGATTGCGATAATACGAGAGGCTTTGAGGTGAGCAGCGCCGTTGATAACACCTAAACCGATACAACCGCACCCGAAGACGGCCACTGAAGAGTTCACTGATAGATCCGGAAAATGGTAAAGAGCTGGAAAGGGGGTTATTCAGGTTTGGAGAAGGCGCACCAACACTGGGAAGTTTTGTGACCGCTCCCCAAGCAGTTGTAATCCCACAACCGAGTAAGCATACCTTCTCGAGGGGAGCCTGAGGGTTGACTTTGACGACGGAGTATTTGCTAACGACGGTATATTGAGAGAAAGTGGACGTGCCCATCTATGCGACGTGATCCAGTACCGTCAAATTCCTGTGGCGAAAGCCATTACGCGACTTACAAAATGGAATATATCTTTGCCTTTGGAATGGAAACGAACTGTCCCATCTGGCATCAAGCCTTTTCCTTGAGTCGCACGTACTGGCACAATGGAGTACTCGAATGGGTAAACTAAACTTGGAGAGGCTTGGGGACTTGACGCATACCGCTGCTGCAGAGGTTTGTTTTCCCGCTTGTGCAGAACTTGCACTCTTTGCATTCTAACGAGTGATATTAGCGGAAACTCGCGAACAACCAAGATATCGACGCGTACCAGCAGTGTAAAGAGGAATGACATGATCTCCCTGAGATAGCAGTCAGAATGACGTCGATCCTGTGGTACCAACATATCCTCACCGGTTGAACGTCTGTTACGCCTTGTCCAACGGATTCTACCTAGGGGCATAATATTTCCAGGGTTCCAGTAAGATAAGAGACGTTTTAACCTACAATTCCTCCCCCTTCATGACCCAGAATCGCAGGGAAGACACCTTCAGGATCCTTCCCACTTCGAGTGTACTCGTCCCTGTAAACCCATCCTGCTATGAACTCATGTCTGATAAGTGGGCCAGATGCTGCAACATACGTGTGACAAATCCCAGTGTATAAGATTTTGATTCTTACTTCATTCGCTTTTGGTGGGTCAACCTCAACATCCTCGACAACTGGGGGTTCCTTCGCAGCCTAGATTTCGCCGCATGCCGTTGGATCGGAAGTCACATATCGGCCCCTGGTGTATACTGATGTACCCACCCAAACAATGGCGGCCTTGCACTTGATAGGCTTCAATCCGGGGATGCGATTTATTTCAACTTGTGGATATGACAATTCTATGAAAAAAAAGAAATCCTTGTACTAACCTTGCCGGAAGTGTCAGACATGATCCCTCCAAATGGCGATGTGCCGACTGACGAATTTGTAATTCTCACGATCATTTCCAGTTACGGCTTTATGACGTCAGATTTTGGCTGATCTCACCAAGAGCGACTTGGAGCTCCTTGCAATTGGTCATCGGTGACCTATCAGATCGACCATTCGCTGCGAGAGCCTCCGAAATCAAGATTTCATCTTCCTGATATGATGACCTATCCATTATTCAACCCATCTGGCGCTGCTCCTTTGCCCAAACTGCATGCTATGACAATCAACACAACAAACTTCCTCTGTAACACACAGCTCTCACACCCTAGCACCATCAACCAGGGAAGACACCGGTAGCCTACATTCAACATATCCTCCCCAAAAGTCCCAAAATTTTCACTTTCATGCCATTTTCATAGCGAATAATGTTCAAGGCAAATACAAACTGAAACATGGAAAACCGAATTGACCTTCATCTCACTCAACAACTGTCCATCATCAGGATTCAGGAATGTTACGGAGATATACACGGTTCAACCCAAAGGGATGAAAGCCTTGACGATGGGCAGCCAGGTGTGGACACCATTCCTGAGTGTTGACTAATGCCTTCCATCATGGATTACACGGGGATCTAGGTTTAGCAAATCCAACACTAGAGTTGTTGACGTCGAAGGCTGGAGAAACCAAGATCTGCTCAACTCATATCGTCGGGAAGAATAAAAAGAGGGCTCACCAGTATAAACACTCCGCATGAAAGGATCACCAAGGATCCAGAAGTCGGATTCACCTCGACTGGAAATGGCACCAACACAGCTGCTCGACCCACCGGAGACTGGACCGTGGTTGAAGTATTTGGAAGCAATGGGATACGGAATTCCGTTAAACGTGAAGGAGATTTGAGGATCATAGCTGCAGGGGTCTGTGGGAAAATGAAATAGTTGGTCAGGTTTTCACAGACAAGGTAGAGGTACGAATGGGGACGTACAAGAGTAGGTGGTACTATCACGACTGGTCCTAAACACAGCACTTCCGGGAATATGTCGATAGAACCGCGAAACTGTATCTGAATCACCGATAATAACAGCGGTACCTGAATCGATAATGGCTGATCCACCGCTGACCGCCTTCGTTCCTCCAACATTGACGCTATCGAGGCCAACCCGCCACCAACGCTGTTGGGTCACAGAGATCCAGTTAAGAGGAGGAATGTAGAGCAATTCATCGGTTCCGCCGAGTTGGAGTTCCGAGCCGGACTCTGAGAAGTAGAAAGCGAAGACACCCTGGCTAACGGTTCCCTGTTGCATGAGGGTGTTGAAGAAAGGCGTAGCACCGAACTTAGAAAGGGCTGGCCAGGCCAGGCCCATCAAGCCATCCGGCCCAGTCTGGAGTGCCCTGTCGAGTCAACTGATGAATGAGAACCATGATCAGCATTGGATATGATTGGAGACGAACCGGCTGAAGCTGTCGGCAGATCCGAGGGTTTGACCCCTGGCGGTGAGCCCGGTCACAGTGACAGCGTCAGTATATTGGTGTCCGGTGGTGAGAGAACCATCGGCATCACGGATAAAAAAGGTTTTCCCCATCCGCGAGGAAGTGGAGCTCAAGCTGAATATAATAAATGTAATGCAGCATCACAAATTGTGAATGGACGAACATACCTAGAGTCGTAATGTGCACTACGTGCTCCACAATTCTTGCAAGTGACATCGGGAATGAAGAAGTCACTGCTTCCGCTATGTCGAATTGGAGCAGTCACTTCCAACCTCCTCTCATTGAATATCCAGAGGAAACTCACGTATCGAGACCGACGGAAAATGTAACAGGAGGTTTCCCGACTGAGATGTTGCCGCACCAAAATCCCTCATGGTTTGTCAAGGCACTGGTGCCGGTACTTCTTTTCGAGGGGCGGGTCACTCTGTCCCGGGCGAGGGGATGGACTGAGCCGGTATTCCTCTCGTAATTTTTCATGCCAACGTCGTATTTGCTAGGAGAAGTAGAGATATTGAAAATTCACGGAAGCCCCATCGGAATCCCAATCTTACGCGCCGACATAAGCAAGGTGGGCCTGAAGAGCTGTTATGTTGACAACGCCATCATTGGCGAAGGTGGAACCCCTCTTGCTAATCGGGATTGAACGACCTTTTTCATTAAGGCGGATGCGGGTGGGACAGGAAAGCACCAGGAAAGGTAGAGAAGCAGCGATGAGAGGTGTGGTGAACCTCATTTTGGCTTGAAAGAGGAGGAGGCGCCGTAACAAGCAGATGCAGGGGGCGACTACCAGTGAGAGGCCCGTTCTTATCCCTTTCTGTCCCTGCGGGCCACGAGGGAATGTCCGCGATTCATCCCTAACGTCGCCTGTGGTAATATCTCGTGGTGAGTCGCAATACTTTCGGACTAAGAATTCCCCACAATGACTCTGTATTTTTGGGAGCGCATATCTGAAAGGGAAATAAGAATCAGAGTAAAACGAGAAAAACCTGCTTTCTCATTGACCGATGGCCATGGATCGGTCTTAACTCACCTTGTACGACCAATATCTACCGCGGAGCTAGGCAGGATACCAGCCTGCCGCATCCTCCAGAGAATATAGATTTAACGCAGGAAATGATGGGATTCCACGAGAATTCCTGTCATTTAATTGGGCTAGCTCCAATGCCTGGCGGGCACGAACGTGCATACCGTTTTGCAAACGGCATTCCGGATAAGGCAGCGCGTCACTCGAAGCCCAGAGGTAAGATAGAAGCGGGAAATATAACTAGTGATTTGGGTCAACGCAAAGGAATGCATTATGTAAGACACAGTGGCAGCCCGGAAAAGCCCTATCATTTGGGAACATGTCTCCCAAATACACCTGTATCGCGAAAGCTACTGGGGTTCCACTAAAAAAAAAGCAACACCTGTTGCCGACTGCCGGTAAAGTCCTCCACGCCCCGGATATCTCCGGTGACTCCCGAGCAAGGAAGCCCTGAACGATCAATTCACTGGTCGCAGGAAGTCCACTCATTTACTAAGCTTCTCAACGTTGTCTTGCTTGTTACGCCACTAAGGGCGAGCAACCACATTTACGCGAAAGTAGCTGCCACCCGCCCCCTTCGGTCTATACTGGTATAGAGACTGGTCATCTTCCTACGTCTTTGTGATCACTAGCTACGGCCGGATCGGCCCCAGGTCCCAACCCCCTGCTTCCAACATCCAGATCGACCGCAGATTATGAGACGACCTGTAGAATCACGACGGCCCCGCAGGACAACCTGGTACCCTTGCAGTTGCTGCTACAGCGCACATTCCAGTGGCACTTCACATGAGCAACGGACGTCTTTTCGAGACGAGATATGTAGTTTATCCCAGAGAAGCCCCAGTCCCGGTCCCAATCGTTTCAACCAATCAAGTGCATTCCATTCCAAATGTCATATGCTGACCCCCGAACGATCTACGACCACTACTACCTTTCCTCCCTACCAAACTGAGTACCGATTTCCCACGAATGGCGTCGGCACGCAGCAAGAACCTGCAGATATCGGGCCGTCAGTCTCAGTCTATCGGTGCCAGTTTCACTGGCACCTCGTTGATCCGACGGCGATCGGAAGAAGGTGCACCAAAACCTTCCTCCAAATAGGGGCCACTGCTTTCAAACTTGTCCCCATCGCCAATCTTGATCGGATCCCAAACACTCTTCTGGCATGGATTAAAATCTGAGGTCTGTGAATCGTCACAACGACCATGATCATGGCCGTTTCTCAAACTACATGTATGTATAATGTCAGCGGCAACATAATGATAGAGGAACTCAACCAGTTGTGCGCTGTGATTCAGAAAGTACAAGACTCGGTGCTTGAGCCCCTTCGGAAGTGGACTGGAGAAATCCCCCCGGAGCTTAAAACTCTAGCGTAAGAAATCTACGTGTACACGCCTCGTCTTCTCCTCGTTCACATTTGTTCACTCTCTTCATGAAGTTTTGCAAAGGACATCGAATTACTTAAGCGGCTTTCGAACTTAACTTCACAGATCGAACGGGATGCAGTGCTTCCCAAGTCCTATAGCCAAGATGGCCCTGTCGTCAATGGACAACGTCCCACGTCTCCGGGTCAGTTCAGATGAAAGAGAATTAAGAGTTCGTTAGAACGGTGTCGCGTTGAGCAAACATTATCAATCTGCGTACTACGCCACCACCAATATCGATACGGACATGGATATGTCCAGTATATACAGATTTGGGCTGAGCAGGCTAAAAGGACGGAGAACACAGTTCCAGATATGGAACCACCATGCTGTGTGCTTCCCGAGCTCAGTCGGAGCAACACCAACCTCGATGGACTGCAGAGTGGGTTCATTCCCTTGTTTCCGATCACACGAAAAGTTCAGCGCCGACAAGCGACGTTGGATAGTGCTTTTACCTACTTCGAGCGAAGGGTCAAAATACTGGCTGGCCGGCTGACCATTTAACGCGTACATCACTTTGTCCCGAGCGCGAAGACAAGACTAATCTGGACTTCGACGATAGTCTGTTCACTGCCGTACCGTATGACATGTTGTAAACTTGATGGAAATGCTGTTGTAAGTGTCCTCAGCCTTTCCGGATAGCGTCGCTGTTTCATGGAGGCCCTCCCGCTCAGGTTCGGGTTTTCACTAATCGCTTCGGATGCTAGAAGTATATAAGGACCCCTCACTCTTTGGTGGCCTCCCTGCGGCGAAAAATTTGGAGGTCAAGGTTTCACCTCTCTGTTGACTTGTTCGTTTTTTGCCACATAATCGAGAGACATCTCTCCCGGGTTAACTCACCGTCTACACTTCGCCTTTTGACTCTATTAATCCCTTATATTGTATCTTCCCGTCCTTTCTAGTTCTATCAACATCCATTCGCAGCTACCTCTCAAAATCTGTTTCATCCTCCAGCTCTAAAAAGGGTGCCCATTCTTGATAGATTATTATTCTTCACGACCACTACAATCCCAGGGTCATGGACACCATGCCCACTTACGTGGAAGCCCTTGAGATGAATGGCTCGTGTTCTAATAACCCTTCATGCCACTTGCAACATGGTATGGTCCGACTTACGCACTGCGACACTTCACCCAAGTTTGAGATCCGTACTCTTCGAGTTGGGATACGGGCTCACCACACTTTCTGAATCTACGTATAGTTTTGCCGCTGAAGGTCCATATCTCCCTTTTTCCGCCTGCCACAAGTACTTGCTCATGTCGGATCAGACATGAAGATCAAGAATATGGCTGATCTTGGGGCACACGGTATCGAGTGCATAATCTGGATTTTTCGGTTCGTGCCTGATGCTGTGGAAAGCAGCACTGGCGTACTATGCCGTATCCCCGCCTAATTGGTTTAGGGACCTCAAGTCGTATACCAGGCGATCTCGTGCTGGTCATGTCAACGGGCTTGGAGCAAACCCTTGCATTTCTGAACTCCTCGCGACTTTGCCGCTGAACCGATTTCCCAGCTGATCAAACATGCACGGTATCAATCCCTGTGGTCGCTCGTTTAATTTGACGTTGGCACGGTAGGCTGACACGATAGGCTTATCAGGATATGTACTACTGAGAGGATAGCGCTAGATATAGTTGCGTGCGATCATGCATTAATGGCATCAAGCGGCAGTCTGTTTGCAAACATATGCATCCAAACTAGGTGTTATAGGGGCTTTGACATTATGACTTCGGGAAAGCAGCGCGTTGATCTCCCAAGCTGCACTAGGTTTTCCCATAATACGGCTAGGAACTCTGTGCGTCTGCCTCACTCATATCTCGAGAGTACGTGAGATCAACAGGAGAGGACAACGTGAAACACACAGCCGAAGCTAATACTATTCATCCATCCCGAGAGGAATTGTTATCTGACATGAAACAACCCGGTGAACTTTGATTTAACGCTATCCTCCAGAGACCAAAGCAAGGGTCCCCCTTGTTTGACGGTCATCGCACCACACTTCATCATGAGAGCTGCTCACGTACCCGCGGCCGGACTACGTACACGAAAGATAATTAGGTTCGTACCGGTACAAAATCCCGTAGAAAGTTGGAGCCAGCTCTTGCACTTCAACAAAGATGCCCGGAGATCGGCAACAAATACTAAGTATCACAATAGGAAGAAATGATTATGTAGAAAGATGTCACACTTACAATACGGATGGGTGGTTCATTTGTTGCACCAACGGAATGCATGGAGGTCAGTACCAAGCTTGCGCGCGCTCACAGGTTCCTCCTTGTGGGGAGGTGCGAGCCTATCGTACCACATGGGTTTGGAGTCCGGCTCTGAATGGCCGGAAAGTATGCATCACCCTGACCGATGCAACCCAGTATCATTTCAGAGGTCATTGCTATGATAGATAGACGCGAAATCCGGAAGCCCAAATATATAATTGAAATTGGTCGTGAGAACTGAATTGAATCAGTTACACTATCCGAGACCGTGCGGCGTCGTTCGCAAACAGATTGAGCATTCTTACTGGTCCATAAGCTTGGAGAGGGCCCGGGGACCATTATATAGCGTCTAAACATCCAAGAGAGCTTCACAATGGCTCAGCCTTTTCAGAATCTCTATCATCAGCGCGCAAGTGATCCCTCACCTTCGTCTATTGGTTTCGGTGCTGAGGCTTTCCCAATGTTGTCTAGGCAGTAGGGACGGCCAAGCCATGGTAACGTTCTTCTCCTGCCTCTACGACAATCTAGCTACAACGACATCTTGATTCTTTCTGGCATGTTTGGAACGACTCATATTCATCCCTTGTGCGGCCACTCCTCACCATGAAAAAAAATTAAATTAAATTAAATTCAAGCTACATATGCCGTCGCCAAACTACTATCGTCCTTGCAACAATAAACACAACGGATTTCCTCTACACCTGCGCCACACATTTGACAGACCCAGGTTTCGCGACCCCCATGACTCCTGAACCACAGGTATCGACAATACCTAAAGTATCCCAGCAAGACATCCAAAAGATCAAAGAAGAATGGGAGGCCAAACAAAAGCTAACGAAAGAGAAGGGGAAGGAGAAGGAGAAGGAGAAGGAAATGGAGAAAAAGGAGACCTCGAATACCGGCGGGAAATCTCCTCCCCCATCCTCTTCTTCCGCCACCACTAGTGCCACTGCCGCTGCCACTACGGCAGGCACAAGCGCACAACAACAACGATCTTCTTCTCCCTCCCATCCACGATTCACACTCCACCGCCAAATATTCGCCATGCGTCTCGCAGAGCACAAGAAACGTAGACAAGCCCAACAGGCGCAGGCGCAGGCGCAAGCAGCAGCCGCAGCACTTAAAACCGCATCTTTATACTCAAACATCCCACCTCCACCTCCTTTACCATAGTGAGCGCTGTTCCAGCGTTCGATCGATCTCACTTTCCTTGAGGACCTTCCTCGTATACATGGCCCCTCACATACATGTTCTCATGCTGTATCATATATTTGCATCCCACCCATATAATGATGAGCTCGGAGTGGCCTTTGGGCTAATCACCACCACATTAAAGAATTTTTCATTTTTCGCTAACCACTATGCAAGGCCACATGTAAAGGTCATAGGTCTGCCCACCCTTGGTATCCTCCTCCAAAAGGCGTAAAGCGTATGTGTAGAAGAAGAAAAAGAAAAAACCAAGGAGGGGAAAATAAAAACAAACGTCCGAGGTTAGAAATAAACATCAATCAAGATCGATTCATCGACAACAACCAAATCAGAAGAGACAACCGAGCGAGGGGGAACTACGAGTATTGTAGAGTTAAGAATGTTAAAAGCGTTTGGTCGAGACAAAAAGAGAAAAGAGAAAAAAGGCATAGGCAACATCAATGCCCAAAAACACCAAAAAGAAAAAAAAAATCATACTCGGCGAAACCAAGATAACAAACGGACATGTGAGAGAACTGAGATGGGTGACGAAGGAGAATTGAATGAACAATTTATACGATGTAGATGTGATGAATAAACGTGAAGGGGTGATCGTGTGGATCTCCTGGAATTAGACGCCGAGATGAAAGGATGATGAAAGGATGGAAAAAACAAGAGTTTAAAAAAAAGATTCCCCAACTCGCAGCTCGCGACTCATAATAAACTCTACTATCTCTTCCTTGGAATTAAGTGTTCGATAAAATCCAATCAAAAAAAAAAGGGGGGGGGGGGGGAGTATGGTTGCAAATAAATGAAGATGGGGGAAGCGGAAAGCAAAAGGGCAACGTTTCTGTTTGTCTTTTTTTTTTTGAGCTGACGATGACGGAGGATTGTAGGTTCGTGAGCACGCGTGTTAATGGATGCGTATCTAATGTAAGCAATGCAAGTATTAGACGTTGAAATGCATTAGTGCAAGCGTTGAAAAGCGGATCCGGATTGCCCCCTGGACTCTCAAATCCAGTATGTAGTCCTGTCAGCTGGAGAGAACGGGGGAGAGAGAGGAGGGGAGGGGATGGATGGATGGATGGGAAGGCGGGAGAAAGGGAAAAGAAAGAGAAATGCGCGCCGTTAGATTATGCAAAGCGTATAAATGTGCACGCGGCAAGGGGCAGAAGTCGCAAGCCGCAATGATGATATCAGGTGTGAAAAGAGAGAAGAGGAAAGTCGGATAAGAGGATCACCGTCAAGAATTAATGATAGGATAACCCCACGAGTAGGATCCAAGAAAAAACTTCAAGGCGACCCATAAGGAGGCGGAGAATCCGTCCCAGCACATGTGCTTATCCTCCTCGTGCGCCTCGCCTCGCCTCCGACACCCAACGCATCACTTCCAACAACCTCAAGCGCACTTCCACTCCCCCCTCCACCACCAGTATCACTAACCCCCAAAACGCCCGCACCGCTACCGATACCATGCCCAGCTTCGACGTCCGCAATACCCCCAGCCGGCGCTGACGGACGAGCCTCCAAAACAGGTGTACTTGAACCTTCTGAACTGGACTCCACGTCCGAATCTGTATGTGGGTGCCAGCGTGACGACCGGCCACCACCACCCACTCCAAACCCCACCCCAAGCCCAGCATTATTCAAAAGAGGCAAGATAAACCCGGCCTCACGAGCCTTCGCCAACGCAGCAGCACTTATCGCTTCAGCTGAAGCACCAATCGCGGTAGCAGCCGCGCCAACTCCGACTCCAATCCCACCATGGCCACTATTCCTGGACGAGACACCCGCAGCGGTACCACCATGAGTAGTCGCCAAAATAGCCGGTAAGCGGACGATAGTACCTGTCCTCGTTCTCGTCACCGTCGCTCCAACACCCCGAGGAGAGGAAGAAGTGGAAGCAAACAAGTACGTAGGAACACCAACAACCCACGTCCCAGCTCTCCTGAATGCACCCACCACGCTATTTCTGGCTCTCTCCGTCCTACTTCTCTCGGTGCCATTCGGAAGACTGACAGTGGACGAAGAAGAGGCGGCGGTAGCTCGAATATCAAATGGTAGTGGGAACAAGAAACCGGCAGCGGCGTGATGACTTGGTGCCGAATCATCTGACGAGGGTGAGGGTGGGTCCGAAGGCGCTGATGATGATGGCGTCATTGAACCACAAGACGCACTTGGGGATGACGAACGGGATGAATCGTGGATCGGGACGTGAACCGGTCGTGGAGGATACGAAAAGTATTCCAAATCTGAAGGACTATGCCCATGACGACGATGATGGCTCGTCGAAGTCGATGATGAAGTTGGAGCACCAGCAGTAGCAGTGGTGGGCAACACTGTCGAATCCCAAAAGTATCCCCTCGGTAACAAGAAATCATACCGAATGCTAAGCAACCTCCTCCTAAGACTCGACTGTCCTTTGCTCGTCTTCTTTCTCCAATAAACTCGCACCAATCCAACAACGAGAACGACACACCCCAAACGCATAAGTATCGTACCCCATTTGCCTAGGAAGGTGACGAACCAAGCGTCATCGGCGTGCCAACTGCTTCCGTAGTGATGGCTGAAGAAGGCATGAGGCGCTTCCCCCGGCTTGGCGTTCTTTCCATAAAGTGCCTTGCTCAGAATCCTAACCTCCCCTCCAGGGTAAGCCGCATTCGACCCGGACGGATGACTGGCCGTGTAAATACCATACTGAGCGCTAATGAACATCGGCCCAGTGCTGAACATGACGGTCGGATAATTCAAGATATAGTCATGATCAAAGGTAACGAGGTTATGAATCGTCTGGGCCATGAATGGATGGCCCTTGGCGGCAAACATGAGGTCGTTCGAAACTCCAACGGGAATCGTTCTGGGTAAGATAACGGGGTAGACAAGCAGAGAATCCAAAGGCCGCAAACATCCCACATCGAGATCCAGATAAATCCCTCCATAGTGATGCAGGACGAAATACCGAATGGCGTCTGCACGTTGAATGGGGTACTTGTAGCCGTCGAAGGTAGGGAGGAACCAGGAGTATTCCCGAGCGATGAAGTCCCGAGAGGATTCATCCGTCCAAAGCATGTACTCGCTAAAGGTGTGAAATTTCACATGAGCACACACGTTGATGTTGCGCATCCAACCACCGTGAGGAGGGTTGAAATCCAGGCCAGGATGAAACACAATGCCATGCGCAGCCCGAACACACGCGCACGAGATTTGCAACCAGCGGATGGAAAACAACGATAGAAAAACAGGAAATTTGCACATGGATCAGTAAAAGAAATTCGTATTTCAGATAAGACAAAAACGAGGCTGGCCCGCATAATCAAGAACAAGACAAGACTCACTAGTCAGGCATCAACTTGCGGCATGTGTTAGACACGGCGTTCCATCTGTCCGGCAGGACGTCGGTCTTCCAAGTCTGGTGTATGATCCTCGGTATCCTCTCCTTTTCAAGAGCTTCAATCGAGTTATCGGCGCCCGCCGAGGGGGGGACTTCAATATCTGTGAGATACGCGGTGGGGTCGATAGCGAGATGATATGAAACTGTACTGAGAACGATGACAGTCCCAAGGAGGAAAAGTGCGAGAATAGTGAGGAAAATGACAGGGGCTTTGCTGCGGGACATGATTGATCCTGGGGGGTCGGGAGAAGGGGGGGGCTAGCAAATTGTGTCAAAATGCGTGGTATTCAAGACCAGCCAGTTCGTGATGAGGAATCGTGAGGGTTAAGTTTTTATGGATTATACTTTGTGGGGTATGGTCTGTGCCTGTCGTTGTCGCGTTGTCGGTGTGGGAGAACCGCCAATGCAACAGAGATGAGCAGAGGGAGATGTGATAGTGCCCGTGGAAGGAGGAGAAAGTGTAATGCAGTAAGGGAGAGAGGGGAGAGAGGGAGAGAGAAAGAGGAGCTCAGTCCGTAACCAAAGAGAGAAACCTCTTTCACTCGCCGGCTGGAGTTTCGGATGCAAATGCACTTTTTCCCTAAATCAGTCATCAATTTAATTCTCACCACAATACAAATGGTAATTTGCAAAAACCCCGATCAAATAACAACATGTGCCAATTCTCATTTCGGGCTCTCATTTGAGCATTTGAGGTTGTGCTGAGACACATCGGACTCTCGGATGCGGGATCACAGAGCTGGTGATATGGCTGTACAATAGCCGCATCCAAACGAAGCGCCGCCTGAATGTGGCGCAGCAAAAATGCGCATCCTTCCAGTGGCGGTGCATATTGGACAAAGTCAGAACCCTTGAATGTGATGCATTATCGCCAACCAACCAAATATGGGAAGAAACCCCTGGAGACGGGACTGACATGAAATAACGTTCAGGGAGTTGTCCACCCTTCAACACATCAATGATGGTTTTGGTTCAAGCCCCCTCCCAATCCACGCTTGCCGCTCGGATCTCTCGCGAACCTCGCCCAATTACTTATCACAGCCCATAATACCCCTCGCAACCTCTCCACACTCCCGTGCCCTGCGACTAGCTACGATCAAAAGCCACATTCCATTCGGCGAGCAAGGCCAACGCGCGCAGGCCCGGTCCGAATCTCTACCTTCGCTGAATGTTTCCACCCAAGATGCGAACCGAACTCTCACTGCAATACGGTTAGAGCCGATCCAATTTTTAATGGGCGTGCATCAATTTACCACACCCGATTAATGTGTTCGTTGGTAAATCCATTCTTGGGTCTGAGGTGCACGGTAGATTGAGAAACAGCTCGCACCCATCCCAAATGACTTGAAGAACAAATATGCATAGGCCCATCACGAGGAGAATGACAAGCCAATAGTATATATCATCATCAATGCAAGCTAAGATTCCTGTGGTAGGAATGAACAACAGCAACACTGCTAATACAAACAATTGAAAAGGTGCAATAGAGGGTGTGGAATGGTTCCATGAAGGTTCCATGCGTATCATGCGCGTTTCGCTTTTGAACAGGGAAAGAAAGCCCAAAACTTGGGATTGTGAGGGGGAAAAAAGGTGCAAGTATTCTGCGGCGTGGAGTACAAATTTACTTTACGAGGGACAATATTGATAATGCACTCTTCCCAGCGCAAGGCCTCAGAGGTGACGACACACAAGGGGATCACATCGGGATTCACCACAAGACGTGACCGGGGCCCGGTAAGGAGACTGATAGTGATCGTTTCGTCTCGTATTGAGTGCCTGTAAGCGTGAGTATCCATCCCACCCTAACGGGTGCCATCAAGACCCCGCATAGGACTTCCGGGAAAGTTGCCATAAGCCGGCTCGCCTCCGGCCAATAGAGTCGCCTGTCCTAGCAGACTCGGCTCAACCTCATCTCGCCGATGTCTCCTCCCAAGGAGTGTCGCGCCCCCAATGTCCAGTTCAAATCCGCCATTTACTTGCCCTGTGCGCCGGCCTCGCCCCCCGCTCACACCTTGAGATCGTCCAGTCGCAGTTCCCACGTCCCTAGCACCAGCTCGTCCATCAAACTGAATAATCGATGCCGGTGCGTTAATGTTTGTCACTGTCTCTTGTTGATGCCGTCTTCTTGCACTGTCGATGACATCACGCTCTTGTGCCTCTTCTTCTTCTTCATCATCTTCGTTCAACCCAAGTAGAAATCCTCGGGCACCAGCACCACGAGGGCCAGCGTAGGCTCGTCTTCGCGCTCCCTCTTCTTCCATGCGATGCACGGCATAGGTGACGTCAAAGGCTTCCTTGAGCGTTGCTAGGCCAGGCGATCGAACTTCCGGCCGTCCACGTACATCTCTAAGGAGTGGTGAATCCATGGCCAGCAGCTCTTGGGCCGGAGTAGGCGGTGGTGGGGGAGCGGCCACAGCGTGGCACCATGGGTGGGCTAGGAATTCGTCGATAGTGTATCGTTCGGCGGGGTTAACAGATAAGAGGTGAGTAATCAAGTCCTTTGCTGCGCGTGGGTTCAGAATAATCCAAGTAAAGACTAAAACGGATAAAACACATACCAGAAACGCTGATGTCATTCCACCATGGCTCGAGGAATGTATATTGTCCTTTCGCCACCTTCTCTGTGAGTGCGTTAATACTCTCATCGTAGAAGGGAGGGAAACCGCAAAGCAGAGTATACAACACGCATCCAAGCGCCCACATATCGACACTTTTGCTATACCGCTCGTCCTTGACAATCTCTGGGGCTGTATACCCAACCGTCCCACAAGGTGTAGCTGTCTCCTCGCTCCATACGACCTTGCTGAGGCCAAAATCGGCAATCTTCACGCGACCGATCTCTCCCCCTCCCACTCCGAGTATGAATTCACCCTCGTCCGCTTTGCCTTCATCAAACTGACGATGGACGGGGTACTTGGACGGAATTAAGGGTATTCGTTCGAATAGCAGGTTCTCCGGTTTAATATCACTGGAGGGAACAATAAGCACTTCAACTGCAGTGAACGAAATGGCCGCAGGCGCACCGATGAACTACGCCGCGTTCTTTGTGCAAATATCTAATCCCTTGTGCGACTTGAAGAATGACGTGCCGCGCAAGGTTTTCGCTGAAATAAGTTAATTTTACACTTAGGAGTCAGGAAATTAATGACAACCCTTAGCAACCACCATCAAGAGCTAACAGTCACCGATACTCACATCTGATGGAACAACTCTCCGCCTTCCATGACTGCGTCATGATTAGCGAAACTCGGTCAAGATAGACTGAGTAAAACAATACGCACGTTCTAGTATAAGAAAGAAAAATTCCTCAGATTCGGAAAATAGCAGTAGTTTGACTATGGATGAATGGTGTAACCCCCGCATAATTTGAACTTCTTTCAAGATATTCGCACGCTAGGAGAGAACATGTCAGCTCCTCGTTCATGGACACCCTGCGAAGAAGCCGGGCGGGAGGTGTTCAAAACGATGTAAGGGACGTCCCACATAGATAAAAGGAATTGGCAGAAAAGAGGAAACGTCGCAGCCCTCACCTCTGTCGCACGCGGTTTCTTCTTGAACTTTTCATTCAAGTGCTTGTTGCCCGCCTATAAGGATAGGGCCGCGACGAAGAATCGAGCAAGCCAAGAGCACCAAAGAAGACGTGAGAGATGTCCATTGTGTATAAATATGAAATAGAAAATAATGCCTGATGCCGCATCGACATCCGGAATCGCCAGGGCCAACGGCATGAGCGCCTAGGAAGATTGAGGTAATTCCCTTACCTGAGACGAATTGAGTTCAAACTTGTGGACAACCTTGACTGCCATCGTCCATTTATAAACGACCAATCAAGTTGACAAAGAAATCAGCGCACCTGCAACTTTCTGACCCGTTCTGAGATCGATCGCCTTGTAGACATTGGAAAATGCACCACTAAAGGAGACAGCAATGATAAAAATATAGAGATCGCCCCAAAAAAAATGACATAAAAACGTACTCTCCCATCTTGTCAATCAACCTGAACTGCTCCAGACCGGGGTATTGAGGCATTCTGTTCTTTGCCTGGCGCTCCTCCTGCACGATATACTCAGCTGCCTCCTTTGTGGATGCTGGCGGCGAAAGTATAGCAGCTGGAGGCTGATAAAACTGATTATCACGGTACTGCCTCTGTTGAGCACTCTGTTGGAGCGCTAATTCTTCCGCTCGATGCTGAGCTTCTTGTTCTATTTGCCTTGCATGCTCACGATATTGTTGCTGCTGTTGGGGTTGAGGTTGCTGTTGCTGTTGGTGCTGCGGAGGCTTGGATGATGATGGATCGGGGGCCGTTCGCGCATGTTTCCCATGTCGGATTAGATCTACGTCACCGACGGCATGTTGTTCATTACGGCCGAAATATCCACGGAAACGGATGGAATGGACTCACTCTTGAAAGCGTCCATAGCTGCCGAGGCTATTGGCATATAGGAGAAATGTGGCAAGGTAAATGGGGCGAGGTTGCAGACCGGAGTCTCATGAACCCGAGAGTATGACGTTCCTTGAAGTCTCCACCGGATGCAAACTCAATTCGTTCAATCGGCAGATACGGTACATGCACGATAACACACAACAGAAGAAACTGGAGTAGAGAAGCACGGGCTACCTTCACCGTTGGATGAGGATGGCAGCTACCAGAATGAACAAGGCTATTAGAAGGAGGCATATCTGAAGAGTAGAAGCTGAAGAATTGCAATATCAGCAATCAGCCGGATCGTGCCAACACCCGAGAAACAGACGCACATGATGTAAACGAGGGAGGTACAACGATAGCGCGGATGCTCGCGTCCGCGCTTCCTGACACTAATAACGTCGATGACGGGTTGAACTGGAGCGTTGTCGGCGGGAAATCGTGCGCCTTCAGAATGTGACTATCGGCTATCATGCGTACGTAGTAAGTCAGCATAACTTCCCCGGGCTGAACCTCGCTTCCACGACGCACCGATAGGACATGGGCATCCACAATCCCCACCGAAGAGTCCGACGCTCCATATGCGGCCAGATTACCACCCTCGCTAAAAAAAAATCAAAAAAATACGTTTGTTACATTCCATATATACTTAACACGAAGGATGTCAAAAGGTATGAACGGACCTGATCTCAAACACAGTGATAGCTCTGTTTCCTATCTTGCGCACTTTCCGTATTGTCCATTTCTCGTCTATTTTACGGGAAATTGTTGGAACAGCATCTCCCCAGCTGTCAGAGCGGCCCCCTTGACAGTGGCACCAGGAAGCTCCCAACGGATCAAGTAAGATCTTCGATCCAGCTTCATCTTCCCCTTACGGTACGGTGCACTATTAACGACTGCCAAAACACTCTGGGATTCTTCGGATTGAATCTAGCCACGGAATATCCGTTCGTCAAGCTTCCATCCCAACAATGGGAATTCTGGACAGGGGTGACTTACTTGGCAGAGCGGAACGTCCATGCAACCTTATCATATGGTGACTTTTCCCGCAGGTCGGATGTCGGTACTGGCATGGTCTGTGAGGCTTCAAGCTCAGGGAGCGTGCCCTCCTCATCAGTCTCTTCTGCTTTCTCCTTGCCATTCGCCAGTGGGAGTGGTACAGATAGAGGGCAGTATCAGTCGTAATAAGTAGCTAGAAGCCGATCAGTTTTTCATCATTGAATGTTTAAGGGAAGAAAGGAACCAACGGTGTCGTCAGAGAAGTCCAAGGCATAAAGCTTGCCCTCCGGTATTTGAAAAGGAGCGGCAATAGCAGCAAGAGAAGGATACGATGCGATGGACACCTAACCAAGAGGAAACCTGAGGACAGTATCATAACCGACATTGTCTGATATATTTACCACATTATCCGTCGTCCCAACAGCCACCAACGAACGATCCGGTGAAAACGCAGTAGCGTCTAGTTCATTGAGCACCAAAATACCGAATCAAAAACGCCACATGGATCCAGACCCTACCTGGTACACTTCAACGTCATTCGTCGAGATAAACTGCTTTTGATTCTCCAACGAAAGCCTGACGAACGACAAACCCCGCATAAATACAATCAAGGCAGGGGAAAATATCACGCAGATTTGACTCAACTCGTTTCCCTTCATTCTGTAGAGGCGACAGTGCTCATTGACACCCTTCTCAATCGACTCGGAGCTTGCATTTACACCACACACAAGCGACCCGTCCTAGATCCAAATCCACTTGGATAACCACTGGGACGAAGGGTGCGAGATCCCATTTTGGCGCTTACCTGCGGATTGACAGCTAGAGTCATCGGAGCATCTTCATCCTTCTCCATCAGGCTTTCATTGAGTAGCTCGATTTTTTCGCCCCCATCTTGAACGTCGTATAGCCTCTACAAAAAATCATTAAATGCACCCATCACAAATTCATGCATTTCGGACGCGAAATGACACGTCAGCAAAACTAAAAAAAAAGACACTATTCTAAACTTCTACACTCAACAAGTTTGTTTTTCACACCCGTTCTCCCAGTCCCACCACCGCCACCAAGGACGAGACGCGTGTCAGATATGAAACCAGCCGACCAAACAGGAAACGTGGGCAGAGTGTGAAGTGTATGTCGTGTGCGCATGTGTACTCGTATCCAAAAAAAAAACCGTAGGGGGGGGGGGCTTGAAGTTGTCAAAAGTGATTGCTATCACGCAAGATCCAAGAGCAATCCTTGTGCTTAGTGTGTTCCAAAATCCGGCTCCCTAGGAGTCTCCGTGAAATAAACTTGAAAGGACGTTTTGTTCCGCAAGTAGCTTTTAGAAACAGCGAACAGTGCGGACTGAGGGCCAAAGAAACGAAATATACGTTGCAGTTGTCCTTGCGCGAACACAACACAATGACACGTGCGATATTAAGTTGAATTGAACCTTGAAAGTCAAGGACCTTAAGGGCGCTCGTCACAAACGCCACGATGGCAGACCATGTCCCAACAACGCGGGAGCTAGATCTTGAACTAAAACTACGTGAACGCGATCTTCTCATTGTAGACCTCACCGTGAGTACTTTGAAACACTTTTTGCTTTAAAACAACTCCAATTAAACTCAACTGAGTTCGGGTTTTATTCACCTAATGAAAACGCCGCTAGAACGATATTAAAGCCTTGAGGGCTTATCTTCCTACGACAGCCATCTCAGATCCAAATCAAAAGTTTGAAATACCGTACTCAGTTCTCTCCGTCCTAGCGCCATTGGCGGTGCGCAATCCGTTACCTCAATCCAGCGTCGCTTCTGCATCCGTGACTGCAGCTCTGAAAGCGCGAGTAGCGACGCTCCAACAGGAGAACGATGAGTTGTACGCTATGATGAGCTCCTCTGTTGTCTCGAAACTCGATGAAGAAGTAAAAATTCTTCGACATTCCTCGACGAAATTAGAGACCGCCCTTCGAGGTGTGTACACAGTGCTGCCAGAACTTCGCGTGCACAATCGTTTACATCACAATCTCCTCCTCTATGCCACGATTAGAGTCACATAAGATCATAGAATCCTTATCGTACGTGTCATAAACACCGCCTTTTTCCAAGGAGCAGTGCGCTGGCTAAACCACCAAAAAAAAATCCTTCTATACTTTGCACACTCGTCTACAGCTCCGAACTAGAAGCGGCATACAAGACCATCTCTGCTGGCCTCCCCAAGTTCTCCCCGAGACGCGCCCGTCGTATTTCCTCCGCGCCCTCCTATTCGCAAAATATCACTCACTCTCGTTCCCCTTCACCCTCCCGTTCTCGTTCCCGTTCCCGTCCCCCCGGTCCTCCCCACGCTCACATTCACGCTCGCCCGCCCTTTCTCCCTCTCCTTCTCGTCCTCGCTCCCGCTCCTTCTCCCGTCCCCCCTCACGGACACCTCATCATTCCCGTCCACCAACTCCAACACCAACACTCCCGTTCACCGCCCCGTAGCAGAGGCGTCCTTACCAACTCCACATCCTCCTCCTCCACCCTAAAACCCATTCCAACAGCTCCACGAGCCCACAAGCGTCCACGAACAGGACTTTCACCCACCGAAGAACAACAAGAAAAACCAACATCCACTTCTCATCCTCATGTTGCTACCGCTTCCATAGAACCACCCAGCGGACCCCGTTCACGAAATACCAACGATAATCCTAATTCTCGAGCGGACGAACGGGACGATAAAAATAATGATAATAACAATAATAACAATAATGCACCAACCAGGGGGACACGAACTCGCGATTGGAGGAGAGATGCAAGTGGCAGAAATGTAAATCACTATCAACGTGGTGGAGCTGGTAGCTGGTACTGCGGTGGTGGTGTGGTGGGAGACAAAGAGGGGATAGAGACCATTCAAGATCGCCTCTTCCCTTGAAAGAGATCGGCTTAGGGATGGAAGGGACCGTCCTCGCGATGAGAGGGATAGGGATAGAGATAGGGATAGAGATTTCCCCTCCTCCTCTTCTACCAATAATCCTCGGGTACGAGGCTCGAATGGACGAAAGTCTGGTGGTGGGGGTGGAGGTGGTCCAGTGAGGGATAATAGGGATAGGGATCGTAGTCGTAGTTCAGGGCTAGGTGGTGGAGAAGGAAGAACTTTGGCACAGAGGATTCGGTGAAAGTTCTACTGATTTTTCTTTTCTTTTCGTTTTCGTTTTCGTTTTCGCTTTTTTTTTGTTTTGTTTTTTTTTTTTTTTTTCTTTCGTTGTTTGTTCGACGATTAATCCTTTCCTTACACTGGGATTTCGATCCTACTACCTACCTACCTACCTACATTTACTTTAAATCACCTTGACATGCCATACGTTGGACCTCGACATTACATAAAGAATGATTTCATTTTTCGATTCCACTTCAACAACTGCAACAACTCATCACTTCTTTTTTTTTTGCCTGCCTCGCTGCCGCAAATCCCTTGTGCCCAACAAACTCGATATCCATCATCATTACCGGACGACACAAAAAAGTCATCCTTACCACCTAGAACAGCTAGTGAATTCATCAAAAGTACTTTCTAAAAAGTCCGAAAACATTAATGTTCGTAAATGGTCCCAAAAAAAAACAGGTGTCGCAATGTCATGTCATGAAAAAAGGGCATCGTCTTCGTGTCCGTGTATCTAAGAGGCTCTACTTGTCCACCTTCTCCCAGAAGGAAATAGACAATTTTCGAGAGCCCGTCCAACAGCAGTACACAACAAAAAAATCGTCAAGGTGCATGTGTCCCACCCTACTACATCACAGAGACCAACAAGCCAAAAGTCCTCCAAAAGCAGCCGAGAAGAAGACGAATAAAACGGGATGGACCGACATAGTAGTATACATGAAAGGTCGGATAGTCGTAGCTGCACCAGAGGGCCGCGAAGTGGACCTTGTTGCCGCCGTCGTCGAAGGGACTCCACTTGTACCTCCGGCCCCGTAGTAAGAGAACCACCACCATTACCCGTCGTACTGCCTGAAATCGCCGTACTCGTCCCCCCACCCGATACGGTCGTCCCAGGGAGAATACCCATCTGCGTAAGGCTCGCCGTATCGTTATGTGAATTTTGATACCAATCCGTCCCTGCAGCGTCAGCGATCGTGACAGGCGTCCATCCATTCTTCCCTATAAGCGGCCAAGACCAGATGAACGCCTGAACGGATAGAGCCGAGAGCTCATGTTCCAAGATGACCAATCCTGGCGATTTGGGGGAACTATAGAACGATTTTAGACTGTTCTGGACTTGGGTGTAGGAGATAGTGCCATCTGTGAGCTGCCAATCTAAAGATCATACCATGAAATGGCTGCTCATCAGCCATTGAAATGTGCATGAGGCTTGACCGCACCACTTGCCTGATGTGTCGTGATTCCATACTACGGTCGTGAGACCAAATATCTCACGTGCAATTGCCCTCACTCTGTTATCGCAATCTAAAGACGTAATGAGATAAGTAAAACCCTTCTTCGATATAAATAAAGGTTTAGGGGGAAAAACATACCTCCGTAAGGGGGCCTTGCAAAGAAGGGATATAGATTAGACAAAGGGCGATTATAAGCCATTCCACATTGCAATGGGCATCATAGATAGAAGAATCTTACCTCCAGAACCTCGGTACCCGGCCACCCGTCGAGTCGTGTATAATCTGCATTGTGTACCCCAGTTCTGCCAGGACCTACCATCATGTGGACAGGAGAGTTCGATATGATAAACCGGGTTGGATCGCAAATTACAACTCACCCGCTCATTCGACAGTGTTGACATGTGTGGGTGGGTATACGTATGCTGAGAGATGAAATGATCGAACCCTGCACGACACACACGTGTCCCAAACAATTATTACTTACGACAGCGATATCATCCTGGTTATCCTGGAACGCTTGAAGGAAGATCTTCCAATTGAGATAAATGTTGCCCCCAATGAAAAAGTGCGTGACGGGTTGTTGCTTTGACTTGTGAAGTTATACAACGGTGGACTGGTAGGTAGTGGGCCGTCGTCGAATGCAAGAGCGACTTGTCCAGTTGGCGCATCCCATAAATCACCCTTTGCACGGCATTCATAGTACGCTGAACAGATGGTTGGACCAGTGGGACTGCCACTACCACTGGGGTACGTTATCGATCCTCCCCCGGCTAATTCAATCCGACAACCCGGATGAGCGCTGAAACGAGTGAACAGATAGGACTCAGTTGGCTCGTACTTAACGTAGATATAGGTATATGAGGGATCTTCCCAGCTGCGATGGATGCGTTCAGAGCGTCTGTCCAGGCTTTTGGGAGAGTTCGCGGTGGGAAATTGGAAGGGTCCGGAAAGGAGGACTTCCATTCTGCTCCGTGAGACGATCAGCGTTCGAAACCTATCAAACAAGACACATGCGTAACATTCCCCCGACGCACCTGAAGAGCCAACCGGGGGATAAGAATTCGGATCTTGCCTTTTGAACAAAGCGTGAACAGGATGATCTTGGTCGTGATACCATCGTTTGCGAAGATGACTCGAAGAACGGGAGGCATGTGGAAGTGCCACGACACCGATGAGGAGGCTACTATCCCAGAGGAACAAGGTGACCAGCCAACCGAGCGCAAAGGGAAGCATTGCGGGAACCGGAGCTGGGTTGGGGGGGGATAGGGAGGGGAGACCTGTGTTAAGCTTAGTCCGAGGAGAGGCTTATAAGTGGTCATTCAACCCATTGAAAGAGTGACGTTCCTAAAGTAGGGTGAACAACCAGAACGTATTCAGTCTGCCGAATTGAATCCGGGAAGCGAGCATCTCCATAGGGCGATTGGAATACACCTTGGGCTAAAGACGTAATCTTGTGAAGCCACTTGGCAGGGTAAGCTGAAAAACCCACTACTAACCAGAATGTGCGCGCGAACTACTCCCTGCGACTTTGTGGCAACCCACCCCCCCCAACCTTATCCCGAACTGTGTTGAGTGTAATCTGGAGCGGCGTTGTTCCGTTCGTCGTGTTGTCTTGCATTTCGACAGGCGCCGTGGCTGTGTCACGCGACAACAAAACGGATGAAATTTCATTTTGTTCCCCTGAACTTGGCAATTCGGCATTCCCCAGTTATCAGCGCTTTCCGACCCCTCAAAATAATTAATCAACACAAAGATGTAATCTAAGACAATAAGGGGAATAACACATTGGAAAAGCTATGATGGAAATTCTACCCCAACACAGGGGAAACAGCAACGACAACTCTAGTTTCAGAGGAATTTGGAGATGATGAGGGATATTCCCGACCACGGAAAACTGTCGACATTTACAGTAAGGCAAAAGCTGCTTACTGATGCGATAAATCTGGGTGACCCTAATTTTAGTTCGCTCTGTTTATAGTCAAACGCCATGCATAGGTAATAATGATCGTGTGAGTATGTTATATATACCATTACCGAGTCGTCGGGCTCGCGGCCGGCAGCCGCTGGCGCTTAAACCGTGTCCACCTATCCTAGAATCCATTTGGTTGGTCAGGAGGAGGCAAGCGCCCCGCAAAGAACCAAGGGACAAAGTATCAAGATCCAGGCATGTACGATGTGTGGGACGACTCGCCCATGGGGCATCGCGCGCCTATTGTGCCTTGCGCCGTGAATGCTGAAAAGATGCTGCCAGAGCGCATGCTGATACATATATATCATGTGTGCATCTTGGGGCCCGTTTCGACCCTTCTTTGTTCATCTGTCCTCGAACCCGTTATTAGTTTTCGTGCAAGGTACTGATTAACAGTTTGGGTCGTCCTCGTGACATAGTGATCGACTTCTTGTAACCGTCCCTTTGATCACAGCGAGCCCAACGTCCAAACGATGAGCAGGAATGTCGGCCCCGCTAAGATTAATGTCGCGAAAACCAATTACACAAAATCACATCCCCGCGCAACTTAGAACAAGCAGGATTGCTTCGAAGGGAGCCCAATCATTGGATGAAGTCAGCCTGACATAGCTAGCCTGAATGCGTTGAGCGGCACAAGCTGGGAGTCGACAGGTTATGTATTCGCCTAGTTGAATTCTCAGAGTTTGCATAAATGAATCTCGAAACGAGGGATTGAAGATATATACAGCCCCCGCGGGTTAGTCCTTGAGGAGTGGTTCAATGAAATGAAGGGTTCTACTTTTCTTGGGAAATGAAAAATGTGGATGAGGTTAAGCTTGTCGCATTTGACTTTGGCGAATGAATAATCATGGGGGGGTTGGCAATTAGGTCGGAAAATGAGTTCTTACAGAGGCAGGATGGCCGGAGGCCCACTTGCCATTGAGTTCCGGGTTACCGAACCCCCAGGTAGATCGTATAATTGTGCCCAGTGCATGCGTCTCTGGGAATCTTGAGTGCTTCCCGGTCACCGAATCTCATATCTGATCATGGGACGCTCAAGCCATCCTAAATCCATCAGGTGAGAATGAGACTGTGTTGACGCCATTAAAGTGTCCTTGGAAGGCCCTCGATTCTTCTCCGGTCGCAACATCACAGATTCTTGCTGTTTTGCCATAGGATGGCGAGGTTACTTTGAGTCCACCAAGTAAAAAAATGGACTGAGTGAGCCTGATCCTTTGGAGAACTTTGGTTCTTCCGATTCGTGCCGCAGCATGATAAGAATACCATCGAACCATCAGACGAGAATACAACGGGACAGATTCGACACCCGATCGACGGCGATCTCTCGCTGTATCGATGGCGCGACTTCTAGAATGAGAGAATTCCCAAACCAGCCCTTCGATTGATCCGTAGCTCTACATACCTTTTCCTCAACGTGTAGCTAGAACGGGAAGATATACCAGCCTTAGACCCTTGTCGACGATCCCTTCGAGACCGTCGGGAAAGTGCCTCCTGGAGAAACCCGATAGATAGGATCGAACTGTTGGAGACAGTCGAGAGGCGAAGCAGTTTTAGCTAGAAGGCAAAACGGGTAAAAGAGGTCAGCGCAAGAGGAGGGGAGTCATCTGGGGCAATGTCGGTACTCTCGCTATTCTCAATTAGCTCAATACCCTGTTCAACCGATATTCATCGGCATTCAGCGAACAACAAGCGATAAAAAAAGTACGCACATTTTTGTATCAGTCGCTTGGGTCAAGCTAGAAGGACCAAACAAAATCGGCACTATTGGCCCTTCAATAAGAACGAACAACAAAACCTGGTGAGGATAAATACCCTATTCGCCTGCGAAAACTTTCCTTGGTCGCCTTGTTCATACCCCTCCCGCCCGTATATTCCGGGGAGATACTCTCTAACAGCTCTCCTAAACCTCTCACGCTCCGCTCGCACTTACACTCCTACCCACACTCCTCCCGCTCCCGCATCCTGTCCCTCCGCTACAGCCTTCCCGGCAATCTAATTCTGAGTAGGATTCTCGATCAATGGTAGATCGTATTCCAATAGCGCGACGCAAAAAGATGATGAAGGTGACGAATTCGGAACAGTGAATCCAATTTTTACGCTTGGAGCGTTGACCGCCCCCGTCAAATATGACAGGTGAAGGAAAAAAAAGGGGAGTTCAGCATTTGGCATACGCCAATGGGAGGGAGAAAAAGAAAATGTACCGGATATTCAACTGACCCAGACTAAACTTCGTCCCATCCCCATCTTACCCCTCGCCCTCAACACATCAGTCGAATTAGGGAGATGATTCCTCAAACATCATTTTATCCAGTGCAAGCAAGTGAATCGGTGTTGGCGCCACGCCGGTCAGCACTGGAACAGCCCCACGGCCAAACTGATTGGAGTGTTTGTGTGTTCTGGATATTTGCCTCACAGACTTCAAGCTGCTCCTGGGAGTGCCAAAGGCAGGCGGAATAGATAAAGAGGTAATAAAAATCAGTCTAGAGCCTAGATCATGCTCCTAACTGAATAGGATGAGGCACTGCGAGACGCTTGAGTGTGCAGCGCACTGGGGTCATGAGCCTTCTAGAATTTCAGGCTGCTGTCGGCGCGGTGCTTGACCATAGAGAAAGGAAAATTGGGTTGCAGAGAACGGTTTTTAATAATAGCTAAGCCATTATACGCTCCGATAGGTTTTGACGCACAGCCGACGATTACTGCCTTGCATCCAGAAAACTTGAATCTGATTGCGCTTCCATGATAAAACCGTGGGCATGATTCCAGCCAGGCAGGGCCCCAGCCCCTATAGAAGATAGAGATTCCATGCCACACCGGCGCTTACCGCCGGCCTTCGGTATGAAGTTCGTCATCGTCACTCATCCTGTTCTCTCTCGCAATAGATAAGCCAGGACTTAAGTAATGTCATCGCCTGGGTCGTGTCACCGCGCGGAGTCCATTGAATTCGCCGCTGATATTGGATTATATTGACCAAATGTATATGCTATGCCCTTCCTCATCCTTCCATAATCAGACGGCCTTGTGGCTCTGAGCATGTAGGCGCCCACACGTGCCCAAAGCTCCTCTCCTCCATCACCTTGTCCGCTATCGACCATGTCGGTGCAGCAAAAGGCTGGCGCTCTCAGGCAAAAGATCGACGATCTCCTCGTGGAGGGAGTTGACATCGCCGTCCCAATTCTCAAGGTCGTCAATGCTACGGCTGATTGGTGTCCCCCTCTAAAGATGGCGACTGGCAGTGCACTCTCCATCCTCGACGAGGTTAAGGTTGGCCATAATGTTTGCCTGGCCGTGAATAAAAGCTTACCCTAGTTTGCGCTATGTAGAAGTTCAAGGACAACAAGCAGGAATGGTCTGGTTTTGGGGAATACGTGGTCGACACTGTAGCCGAGGTGGTTTCAGCTATAAAATCCTATGATGCGTCGGCGGAAGAGGCAAAGCCGTGGGTTGAGAGCGTCACAAAGCTCGATAGGTAAGTTATATTCATTTTTGATATCGTTACTTACATCCAGTCTCAGCGCGCTACAGAAGATTAAGTCCGAAATCGAACGAAGGCTGAAAAAAATAGAGAAGCGACCGGCTGTCCTAAATGTTGTGTCCTACTTGAGAGACCCAGGAAGAATTGATGGCCTCAAGAAAGACTTTGACAAGGCATTGGCGTCGTTTCAGGTAGCTTTCCTTACAGTATACGTTTCATGGCCATCCTGATTTCCGGCCGATGCAGCTTAGGACGAATCTGATCGGTGGTGCCAAATTAGCGGCCATAGAACGTCGTCTACAGGACGACAAAATCCTCGATAGTCTCCAATACCCTCATATCGCCTACGATGATTTCACTCACGCGTGCCTAGAAGGGACTAGGATTGATCTCACGGAGCGTATCATGACATGGTGTCGCAACACTGGGGAGAATGAGAACCGGCTAATGCTCCTGACTGCTGTGGCTGGTGCTGGCAAGACTTCAATTGCACTCACTGTAGCAGAACGATGTGCCAGTGAAGGGGACGTTACGCTGTTACTTCACTTCTTCTTCAAAGCGGGAGAACGGTCGCGGCCCGATTTTCTATTCAGTGGTATAGCTCGAACTCTAGCAGACCATGACCCGGTTTACCGCACTTTTATAATCTCTTCCCTTCGAAAAGACCCTTCCCTCTCAACGGCCCCACTTGCAAAGCAATTCAGGAATTTAGTGGCTTTGCCTCTCCTCCATAAACCTCCACCTCCCGACCGTCCCATGGTGGTCATCATCGATGCCTTAGATGAATGTGACAAAGGAGTGTTCGAGTCCTTTGCCAATATTCTTCGGGAGGAAGTGCCCAGGCTGCCATCTTCCATAAAATTCTTTATCACATCGAGACATACTGATCTTGTTAGACGCTCCCTCTCACCCCAATTCCCTGTTAGACGTCTCACTATTGACCTTTTGGATGACCCAAATGTGCAGGACTGTGCTACATATATACGTTTCGAGCTGCAAACGCTGAAGAATTGGCATCCTGATTTACGGCGTCATCTTCAGGATGAGGATAAAACAGTTCAGGGGATCTTGGAACTTGCAAGTGGCTTGTTTATTTGGATCAGCACCATCTTTCGCCACATGAAGACAGCCAACAAAGATCCGATGAGGACGTTAGAGGGCTTGCTAAACACTGGCACGAAACGATCAAAGGTTCCTGCCGAGGGAATGATGGACCGCTTATATACAAGCATTCTGAAGAAGTGCGATTGGGAGGATGAAGATTTTTCCCATGACTACCCAATTGTGATGGGAGCAATCTTTGTCGCACAGCAGCCTCTGTCCATCACAGCCTGGGATGCAATTTTGTCACCTTTCCTCAAGTCCCCTGTTCGATATTCATTGGCTGAACTTGCTTCTCTACTCTCAGGGGTCGAGGATTCTCACTTTCCAGTTCGCATCTTACACCAATCTTTCCGCGACTTCATTGTCGATCGGATCGATCCCCCATCAATCAGCCCTTGTTGCATCCCAGTAGATGTAGGGACGGAGAATGCGAGAGTTGCCCTGCGATGTACCGAGATTCTGAATCAGGATCTTTGCTCTGTCAAGGGCTTAGGACTGATTGAAAACGTGTCCAAAAAAGACGAGCTGCCGCTCATTTGCCCGGAAGGGTTATCCGAGCACTCTCATTACGCATGTCGCCATATTGTCCATCACCTCAGTGGAGTCCAGGAACCATCACAGGAGCTTGATGGGTCAGTTTGCGTGTTTCTCAGTCAGCAAGCAACTCGCTGGGTGGAAGCCTGTGTGAGAATGGAGGGCTATATCAGCATCTCATCACTCCCTGAGTGGGCTAAGGTGTGGATTATCAGTTGTGTTAATGAAACTACCTAATTGACTCATGATCTTTCAGTTGGCTGTTGGCCACAGAGCAAAAGGTGCTGTCTGCACACTGGTCAGTGTGCTTGTCCGGCTTGTATGGAATTTGGAATTTTTTGCAAGATTCAAGGAAGCATATGAGGCAGCAACCGATTCTGTTGTACTCTGCCGTTACCTTGTTTCTGTCAACCCGGGGTCCTACTCCCTGGATTTGGCCAAGTCACTTGGGGCTCTTTATTCAGCTCTTTCCAATCTCGGACGGCACTCGGAGGCACTCCCATTCATTGAAGAAAGCGTTAGCCTCCACCGCCAGCTGGTTGCTGTCCACCCAGGATTTTGCACCCCAGATTTGGCCATCTCACTCAACAATCTATATCTTGCTCTTTCCAATCTCGGACGGCACTCGGAGGCGCTCCCATTCATCGAAGAAAGTGTCAACCTCTACCGCCAGCTGGTTGCTGTCCACCCGGGATCACACACCCCAAATTTGGCCATCTCACTCAACAATCTGCGTGGCGCTTTTTCCAAACTCGGACGGCACTCGGAGGCGCTACCATTCATCGAAGAAAGCGTCAGCCTCTACCGCCGGCTGGTTGCTGTCCACCCAGGATCATACACCCCAGATTTGGCCATATCACTCAACAATCTATATGGGGCTCTTTCCAAACTCGGACGGCACTCGGAGGCGCTCCTATTCATCGAAGAAAGTGTCAGCCTCTACCGCCAGCTGGTTGCTGTCCACCCGGGATCATACACCCCAGATTTGGCCATGTCACTCAACAATCTATATTTTGCTCTTTCCTATCTTGGACGGCACTCGGAGGCGCTCCCATTCATCGAAGAGAGCATCAGCCTCTACCGCCAGCTGGTTGCTGTCCACCCGGAATCATACACCCCGGATTTGGCCATGTCACTCAACAATCTATGTGATGCGCTTTCCAATCTCGCACGGCACTCAGAGGCGCTCCCATTCATCGAACAAAGCGTCAGCCTCTACCGCCAGCTGGTTGTTGTCCACCCGGATCATACACCCCAGATTTGGCCATCTCACTCAACAATCTATATTTTGCTCTTGCCGAACTCGGACGGCACTCGGAGGCACTCCCATTCATCGAAGAAAGCGTCACACTCCGGCGCCAGCTAGTTACAGTTCATCCGGGATCATACACCCCGAATTTGGCCACGTCACTCAACAATCTATATTTTGCTCTTTCCGAACTCGGACGGCACTCGGAGGCACTCCCATTCATCGAAGAGAGCGTGAAACTCTGGCGCCAGCTGGTCGAAATCAACCCAGGAGCGTACACCCCACAACTGGCCATTTCACTCAAGCATCTTCGCAACGCTCTTTCCGGTCTCGGACGTCATTCTGAGGCGCAGGTGGTTCACAGTTGAGCCACCCAAGTCCCGCGGTTCCACTCATTTCCCCTTGTCATTGCGTTTCCTTGCTACCTGCTCATGGAGAACACTAACAGCGATACTCATATGTACCTTATCTACAATTTTTCTTCCCGTCGCTCATCGCCGATGTACTGTTTGTGCATATCATCATATTAAGGTTTGATGGGTGATGAATGCTGGTGCAACGAAAAGACCCAATCGACAGGTCCACATCGTCCGATGTACCATGAGGGGCATGTGGACGTTGACAATTGTGGGGTGACTTGGGCTCCAATATGTAAGAGACACAACAAGCTTCGATTCGAGGACAAACAATATACACTCCTATCGAATGAATTACTACTATGGGTGTTCGAAGGGAGCCAGAAGTCCGGTATGTGTGAGATCGATAGGTTGTGATGCCATCAAGAGCGGCGGGCTTGAGCACGTCGGACTCAACTTCGCAAACGCAGCCAGTTGTATACATGGCAGGTAAATTAACTGGTTGGCATTGGGCCACCTCGAGAAATGGAGTCATTGGAAAGGGCAGGAGCGGAGGGTGTGTGTAGAATCACAATTGTATGACGCACATTGCTTATAAGTCTAACAAGCAAACCTTACAACTCAGCTTGCAAGGATCCGTAGAACTGATCGTGGGCCTTGCAATGGCCAGATTGAATCCAACACAAAGATATATGCACGCAACAAATACCTATATTGATAAATGGCCGATAGCCCAGGAAGACGTCTCGACAACGTACAGCATGAAGCCACCAGTTGTACCACAAGCACGGAAGAAACTAGCCCATCCTTCCGCTCTCACAACAACTGGATGCGGTTAGGCACTTCCTCATTTTCAATAACTCACCAACGGACAGATAATGAGAGGGTGTACTACACGTGAACGGTGATCTTGTTCATGATACCATCGTTTGCGAACATGACTTGAAGAACGGGAGGGATGTGGAATTGCCATGATACGGATGAGGAGGCTATCCCGGACGAACAAGATGACCAGCAAACTGAGCGCGAAGGGAACTATTGCGGAAACTGGAGTTGGGGGGGAAACATGTGTTAAAAGGAGATAGGCTTATATTATAGAATGACCGTTAATTCAAAGGTAGACCACCAGAATGCATCCGTTTTTTCCGAATAAGCATCATCTCCGAAGGCGATGAAATATCTGTGTTACTTGGCTCAAGACGTAATCGTATGAAGCCACTAGCTTGGCAGGGCGCAAAGTTAAAACTGCAACACAGCGAGCCAGACCACCGTTAACCAGAATGTGTGCAGACTACTTCCCGAGTCCTTGCGGCAACAACCTATCCGGATTGTGTCGGGTGCAATTTGTGGATATCGACGTACACTGTGACCCGACTCGACACGGAGTTGAGGCGGTTACCTTTCTTGGTAAACTCATTACCATGCTTGTGCGCTATTCAGAGCGCGTCCCTTATAAAGCGAGAAAATTCTCTTTCATATCTTTCCTCAATTGATCGCGTACTACGGAACTGGGCGACATATCTGCTAGTATTCTTTTTTGAGTTCTAAAAGTTTGAAGCGGATATGTTCCATTCGACGTGTTGTTGTTGCAGTTCAACAGGTGGCAAACAAACGAATGACGAATGAAACTATTTAGTGATAGCATCATAAACCTGGTGACTCTAATTGTAGTTCACTCCAGTTATAGCCCAAGTTTCGATCCAAACAAGGGACATAGGTAAGATTGACCTTGTGTCATAGCCGCCCGGCCCAATGATATCTGTGAACTCGCGACTAGCCTGAACCGCTTTCACCTATCCCACCCCTCAAAGAACCAAGGGACAAAGTATCAAGATCCAGGCCATAGATCCAGGCATGTGTGCGAGGTTGACTCATCCATGAGCATTGCCCCCATCGTACCTTGCGCCGTGAATGCTGTAAAGATGCTGCCAGCTGTTGCATATCATTTGTGTAACTTGAACCCGTTTCAAACCTTCTTGTTCACCTGTCTTCGAACCCGTCATTAGTTTTCGCACAAGGGACTGATTAATGGCGGCAGCCTCAGTCGTCCTTGTGACACAGTCATCCACTTTCCCTTTGGTCACAGCTCCCCCAATGTCCAAACGATGAGTAGGAGTGTCGGCCCGCTAAGATTGTCGCGAAAACCAATTACACGAAATCGCATCCCTGCGCAGTTTAGAACAAGCAGCATTGCTTTGAGGGGAGAATTCAACCCAATCATGGAATATGAGTCAGCCTGACATAGCTAGCGGTGCCTAGATGCGTTAAGCGGCACAAGCTGCGAGTCGGCAGTTCATTCGCCTAGTTGAACCCTCAGAGTTTGCATAAATGCATCTCGAAAACGAGGCATTGGGGATATATGCAGCCCTGCGAGTGGTTACCATGAATCCACCAAGTAAAATATAGACTGCTCCTTTGGAGAACTCCCTTGGTTCTTCCGATCCGTGCCGCAGCATGAGAATACAATGGGGTTGAGCGTGACAGATTCGATCCCCGCTTGACAGTAATCTCTCACTGTATCGATGGCGCGACTTCTAGAATGAGAGAATCCCCAAACCAGCGCTTCGATTGATCCGTAGCTATACATACCTTTTCTTCGACGTGTGGCTAGAAGATGAGGCGCTAAAATTTCGATACGGAGACTAGGAGGGTATACCAGCCTTTGAAGGAATGGACCCTTGTCGACGATCCCTTCGAGAAGACCATTGGTCAGCGAGGGGCCAGGCATCTGGGTACCTTAATTGGCTCTATAGCATGTGGAACATTCAACCTGGATTCAGAGGCATTCAGCGAACGGTAAGTGATAAAAAAAAAAGCACACTCATTTCTTGTATCAGTCGCTTGGGCCAACCTAACCAAAATCGGCATCATTAGCCCCTCCATAAGAACGAACAACAAGGCTTACTGAGGATAAATACTCAACCTCGCCCTATTCCCCTACGAAATATAAACTTGACCGCCTTGTTCATATCCCTCCCACCTGCACTCGTCCGCCCTCCCGCACCATTCCAACCACCCTGTCCCTCCGCTACAACAATCTTCTCCATACCAGCGGCGCCTTCCTCCGGCCTGCATCAAAAACATGCGATCCTCACTGTTCAATACATTCGCGTCCCTCCACGGTGATAATTGTATGCATTGTGGCAATCAGGAACAGCCCGATAGCAGCACCGCGGGAAGTCAAAGAGAGGCCGGTGCCGGTATCGATACCGTCGAGTGTCGAGATTATTACCAGGAACCCAGAACGCGTGCCCGCATGACAACAGTGGTACCATGCATGGCTAATCAGCTGGGAAAGTCCATTATTTCAGTGGCTAAGTTGCGAGGAGTTCACGAATGCAAGGGCTTGCTGCAGCCCGTTGACCAGTACGAGATCATCCAATAGCTATAGAATCCAAATTGGCCTCCAGCCTTGCCTAAGCAGGTAAAGTATATATCTCAATGGTGCTTCTCGATTATATATAGCTTGAGATCCCTACATCAATTAAGCAAGGATGGTGACGCTTGCCACAGCGTCGGGCACGAGTCGGAAATCCAGATTAGACACTCGATATCGTGAGTGCGAGAGGATACAATCGAGGCGAGAGGTAGCTAATAGGGGGGCCCGATATTAGCTATCAAGTATGGCTCGTGGTCGTCCACGTCATAGTAGTGTTTGGAATGCAGCCGCTGTCGTAGGCCGAAGAAGGGAGATGCGGACCTTCAGCGGCAAAACCACACTCAGATCCGGAAAGTGTAACAAGACCATACCTGGACTCGGAGAGGTCTATGTACAATGGATGTGGTGAGACAGGCCCTTGCATTTGCAGGTCTCAAGTTTGGGTGGAGTGTTGCCGTGGTGGGTCAGGCCATTTTGACGGTGGCGTGAAGGGTTGTTGTGGAATGACAAATGTCCAAAGGATTTCGAGCTTTAGGGATTCATGGCATTGACGTCAGTTCACTTAAGCATCAAAGCGAATATTGGGATTCGAGGCCATTCATTTCTGCAGCTGGAAGAGCCGCAATTGAGAGTGCACTCAAGAGTGGGCTCGTACATATTCGACTTAGATAGTGTGCCATTTCATGAAAAAAGGCTTACATGTCAGTGGGCCTGGTCTCCACGATCCTGTCAAATCGCAGAGGCAAGGGAATAGAAGATGGCGTGAGCGCTTGGACAGTGGCTTCTTCAATGAGTTTCTTTCCTTCACCCATATCGTCGTAGGTGTGCTCTGCATCTTTATGACAAGTGAACTGACAGATTATGCTGACGGAGACTCGAGAAGGGCATCATGGACTGTAAGAAGGTCAGTGCAATCGACACCAACAGGACAAGGAAGGTGCCGACTGTTTGTTTACACTTCGAACTCGAACATTGATTCATTTATTGATTACATGCTTATTGCTGGCGGCTCCTTCCGTCTAACGCCCCAAGACTGAGAGGAAGCGGATGAGCGAGTGAGCAACTGAGAAAATTTTCTCTGGCTGCAACTGCGTTCCACCCGTCCTTTCACAATGCACAAGCTCAAATGGATTCCAGTCGAAGAACTATCACGAAAGGAGCTGAACAAGCAAAAGCAACTGATAAATCAATGTATGAAACAGAATCCCGAGTTCTTAGAGCAGCTTGTAGAAGAACACGGGCCCTTCCCTCTTTTGTGGGATTTCAACGTTGCCGCTAGAGTGAGTGACGCTTCGATTCGATGCGGGAAAGCTGAACGGCTATCAAATTGATGGATCTAGGCAAGAGTGCAAGGACGCTCGAAGCGGGTGAAAGGGCCAACACTCACGGTCACCCGCAGTGAACACCCTATGGGCCTTCACTCGAGGGAGGCGGTCAAGGCTGCCATCGAGGGCCACCGGCCAGTGGTAGGATGCCATGCTGGCCCCTCCACAACGTTTGCTGTCCCCCTCCGACCAGACCCTCCGATTCCCAAGCCCCTCCCCGGAGCGGTAACAGTGCCACTGCACGTCCATGGGCAGCATGGAATGCACGCAAGCACACCAATTTCCTGGGTCCAGCCAGGCCCTGCTGCACCATGGACGAGGCCTGCGCTGCTACAACCCTTTCCCATTCCACCACCACCGCTGCCGTTACTACAACCGCCAACACGACCTCTGCCGACCCTCCAATCCAAACCCCTCATGTGGTCGAATATAGAACATGGACTCATCACCTCTCTGTGAGTTAAATCTTGTCTAGCTATCATAGCAAGGATCTCTGAAATGACACTGGGTTGCATCGGTCAGGGTGATGCGTACTTTCCGGCCGTTCGCGACCGGAGCCCAAACCCCTTTGGCGCGATAGGTTCGCACCTCCCCACAAGGAGGAACCTATGAGCGCGCGCAAGCTTGGTACCGACCACCAAGCGAAAGTCCATGCATTCCGTCGGTGCAACAAATGAATCGCCCATCCATATTGTAACTGTGGCGTCTTCCTAGTCGTTTCTTCCTCTTGTAATCTTTGTGATACTTAGTATGTGTTGCCGATATCGGGGCATCTTCATTGAAGTGCAAGAGCTGGCTCCGACTTTGTACGGGTACTAACCTAATATATCTTTTCGTGTCCGTAGCTCTCATGGTGACATGGTCGTTAACCAAGAGGGACCCTTGCTTTAATTTCTGGAGGATGGGCTTTAAAAGCTCACTGATTGCACCCGGATCACCGTGTGACAACATTACTTCTCGGGTCGTTTCGCATCGGATAACAATTTCTCTCGGCTGAGGCTATGTGTTTCACATTGGTCGTCCTCTCCTGCTAATCTCACGCACTCTCGAGTTGATGCAGACCATAGAGTCCCTAGTAATATTATGGGAAAACCTAGTGCAACTTGGGAGACCAACGCCAGCTTTCGCGCTGAAGTCATAACGTCATACGCCCCTATAACACCTGGTTTGAATGCATATATTTGCAAGCAGACGGCCGAGAACTTGGTGTCATTAATGCATGATGGCACACAGCTCGTAACTATATCTGGCGCTATCCTCTCAGTGGTACATATCCCGATAAGCTTATCGTGTTAACGTCAAATTAAACGAGCAACCACAGGGACTAACTATAGGCTCACAACCAGTATCGATTCCACGAAGGGGCCCAAGTGGCTAGTGGCTAGTGGGTGAAGGTATCGTAATGATCCAAAAGTGATGGAGCACCTGTTTCTGGTTCGAATACAAGTATGCGTTATGATCAAAGTGATATGTGCAGCTGCTTGTCGACGTAGCTTAGCTTGGCCGCAGGATACAGCTTTGCAGGATCAGTCTAGTGTCCTACCACATCTCATGCTCTGTATAGAAGAGAGGATCCGTAGGTGCTGGTACAATTGGGGCACGCTACTTTCACGTTGCGGGGTTGTTTTGAACGGAACAACGGATTTGGGACGGAACGTTTCAAACGCGCCCTTGCCGGAGTACGTGGGTTGGTTTGACAGTGGAACAACGCCCCTGGACAACTTGGAGCTTGGATTGCCAGACACATAGATGTTGGTGTAATTCAAGGCTAATGTTAGCACAGTGCCCCAACGGTCGATGATAAGCATAACTCTTCAAACGTAGACAACCGAAGAGCGTGGCTAAGCAGCTTTCTGCACCTAAGACTTATTCGCATTTCTTGGCCTGAGTACAAAAGCGATGCCTCTGAAGTGCGGGGTGCAGTACGCACGACCTTAAAAACTATATCGCATCCCTGCTCGTGGAAATGCCAAATACCATTGCTTCAGACACAACTTCCGTCCTGAGATAAGCTAAGGATGAGAGAAAACATCTTCGGGTCCTTCTCCGACCCAGCGGCGCCTTCCTCCGGCCTGTATCGAAAACACCCGGGTCTCACTGTTCACATCCCTCCTCGGTGGTAATTGTACATATTGTAGCAACCAGGAACAGCCTGATAGCAGCGGCTGCCGTGATACAGGAACTCGATGCTACTATCGATATCGTCAAGCGTTAATATTATCACCAGCAACCCAAAATGCATACCCGCATGGCACGTGTGTGTTTGGTCAGCTGGGGAGTTAGTTCAGCGGCAAAGTCGCGAGGAGTTCAGAAATGCAAGGTTTCATTGACCGCCTGGTGGCGCAAGTTTTGCCCAAGTAAGTGATAGTAGAATGCGCCAGCGCCGCTTTCCACAGCATCCGGCATGAACCGAAGATCCAGATTAGACACTCGATACCGTGTGTGCGGGAGGATACAAACAGGTAGTCAGTAAGGCGTCTCAAGATCAGCCATATTCTTGATCTTCATGTCTGATCCGAGTACTTGTGGCAGACGGAAAAAGGGAGATATAGACATTCAGCGGCAAAACGATACTTAGATTCAGAAAGTGTGGTGAGACCGTATCCAGTACGCATCGGTCTGGTTAGCCTCTGAATCACAGAAGCGCCGAATGGGGCAAGACAGACATACTTGTGTCCACGGATCTTAAATTTGGATGAAGTGTCGCAGTGCGTAAGTCAGACCATGCCATATTGCAAGTGACATGGAGGGTTGTTGTGGAGTGGTGAATGTTCAGAGGATTTCGAGCTTCAGGAATTGGCGCCAGTCCGGAACGCGAACCATTCATTTCCGTCGCTGGGAGTTTGATCACACGTGGCTATGGACTCGGTTTAATGGTATGTTCGTCTCATCTCAGAGGGCCTGCATGTAAGCGGGCCTGGTGTCCATAATCCTGGGAGTCCGAATTGCAGTGGTCGCGAAGAATCAAAACGGTGTATAAAGAATGCCCTTTTCACGCGGGGCGGAGTTGGCAGATGGAACAGATTTTGAGAGGTAGCTGCGAATAAGGATCCCAAGAGTGTGTGGATGAGAGCACGTTGATAGAAATAGAAAGGACGGAAAGATACAATAATGGGGATTCATAGAGTCGAAAGGCGAAGCGTAGATGGTAAGTCAACCCGCGAGAGATCCGCCTCTTGATTTGTGGCAAAAAACGAACAAGCCAACAGAGAGGTGAAACCTTGACCTCCAAATTCTTCGGCAGGGAGGCCACCAAGGAGTGAGGTGCTTACAGCATCCGAAGCGATCAGTGAGAACCAAACGGGAGGGCCTCCATGAAGCGGCGACGCGGGATAAAGCGCCAGGCACTGGCCCAAACAACTGAAATTGGTCGTGAGAACTGAATCGCGTGCACTGTTGTCTCCCTAATCACGCGTCAACAACCCACTTTCCTCGGCAATTCCCGTTGTTTCTTCCTATTTCGTTTCGTTTCTTTTTTTTTTTTTTGGTGGAACCTTCGGTAGCTTTTGCGGGCAGGATGCCTGAAGGTTTGTAGGGAAGGGCGGGGCCTTCCAGAGGGCAGTGATGATGGGTACCTCTGTATGACGGGAATTGCCACCACGGGGAAATGCGTTTCCGCACTTGGCGAAGTGGTTATCGCTCTGTGTGGGGCTCCCGTGACCGCGGGGGGTTACCTGCACTGCAGGTCACTCTGCCTCCCCCATAATTATGTAAAACGTGCCACTTTTGCTTACGTGTTGTATTCCGCATTGTATTACCTGCACAGCCGTTCGGGTGAAATTACGCCATTTTCTGCCACTTGTCATTTTCCATTTAGGTTTCATGACCTTGTGACTTTTATATTTATAACGTACAATTGGTAGACAAATCAAGTGAGTCACGCTGAAAATCCAGTGAGATTGGCAAAACCCAACGTGAGCGTCACCTACAAATCTCTGAGGCTTGATTTTGGGCTCTTTTGGTAGAGGAGAATTACTGTATGTACATGACCAACTACCGGTGACGCGTGACGCGAGCCTTGCGGTCCGGGTGTAAGTCCGTGTTTGTGATGCATGACACCGGGGATCCGGTTTGTTGTCCCATTGTCACGCTTTTTTTTGGGAGCCAAGGTGTGGCTGTGCATTTGATTCAATTTTTGGGAAATTCATTTGCATTTAAGACTGACTTCACCATTGGAGACTGTCACTCTCACACACATACCGCTGTTGCAGATGTCACACATGCACCGCTATCACCGGTTGTCTGTCACACCTCATCAGGAGCAGCCGGTTTACTCTCCCGGTGTGATGCTCCAACCCCATCCAGTAGTTGGTCATGTATGTACAGTAGATCTATCCATGTACCGAGTTTAGGGGTGAATGCCCAACTACTTCAGGAGTTAATATGAAGAACTCTGCCCTTCGCAATGTCAGTGCTTAGTCCAAGCACACCTGAATGCATGCCCAGTGCTTACCTGGCCAAAATTCCCCTTACTTGTATCTTGTCAGGGGATGACTCCTGGGTCCCCATGACCCTCCCCTATGGTCCACAGTCTCTGGTCTGGCCAGCCCTATCCAGGGCACAATCCTACTGTGGGTAAGGAGATGAGAAGGAAGCTAACTCCTCATCTTCCCACAGTGGCCACCATATCAGGAAAACTTCTGGGGATACCCGGAAGTCACATGAAGGGGTAGGAACCGGGCCCAGAGCATGCGGCGCGTGGAGCATGCGCACGTGTGGGAAGCATGGCGGGTGGAAGCGGGTCCGGACGCGGGTCCGGGTCCGGGCTAGTCAGGGTGTGTTCCCTGACATATCTGCACCCCTACCTGCCTTACTCATCGTGCTAGGCTGCGTCCGATGACACAGCCACAGCCTGCATCTGCTAAAATCCTGTGTTGTACTCATGAATTGGCATGTCAGCCTGCGATGTAGCCCATTCTTGAAGGGATGCAGCAGACACATGTGTCACGGCCGTGCATTCCGGCCCGTTAGCCGCCCGTCCCAATGCCGCCCGAGCCCGTTACCGCTATGCGAGCGTGAGCGCGAGCCCCGACCTCAGCCCTATCCTCCCTGAGGACCCCCTGCTCACTTCCCCGCTTGCCCCTAGGCTCCCCTGCACCTGGCCGACTCCCCCACAGCCACGCCGACCTCCCTGCCCCGAGTCCGCCTCTGGTACCGACCTAGCGTGACTCCGCGACATCGCCTACTCCGCTATGATACCATCGCCGCTATCGCGGCCCTACACCCCTTCGTTTATTTATCTGTTATTGTTTGTTTTGACCCTCGGTCATTGCCGGCCGCGGTGCGGCCAACCCCGCTCTTTGTTCCTATTTGCTTCCGGACCCTTCGGCCTTCGGCCCGGGTCCGCTTCTATTCATTTCACCTTCATATATATATCCTGTATACTACATTATAGTACCTTAGCTCTAATATCGACTTGACCACGACCCCAAGCCCTGACCCCAACAAGGCAGCCCCAGTAAGTTCGAAATGAGGGCCAAGAGACAACTAGGGGGCACAGCACTCCCTTTAGAGTTGCTGAGGCCAAATGCCCTACCCTCGGGCCTTGTCTGAGGCATCGCGGCCATCGCGGCCCTTAGCGGTCCGCATCGGCGACCTTCGGTGCCCGACCCTGGATCAGTATCTAACAACATGCCCAACTGCACAGCTCTTGGTCTGACCCCCCCACTGTTGCTGCACCCCCACTTGCCCTGCCGCATGGGCGCTTTGGGCAAGGGAAGGAGATTTATTAGTCGATACTATTGACCAATTTTCAGTGCACTTGTCTTATCCTCATTTGTACACTTGTCCCCCCCCCAAGTCGCTGTTCTGATGTCCTCTTTCTGCTCCCCATTTTCCTATTTGTTTCCTATTATCCGGAACACTTCCGCTATTGTCTCCACACACTTGACATAGCCTGATGCCATGATTCGGGATCTCTCCTGAGCATAGAACATCTACGCACTCTTTTTGTGTGGAATAATGATTTAATCATGGTTCACTTTTTTCTGTACAACTGACTAGGGTGTTGAAAAGCAGTGCAGGTCAGCGTGTGCGAAGGCACGCACTCTAGTCCAGTATACCCACTAAAACCCCATTGCACTTCAGCCAATTCTCAGGGAGGCTTAGTTCGTTCTCTAGGGTGCCGCACCAAGTGTGTAGAATGAGCCATTCGGGGAGGGCTCTGTTGCGGTATTTCTTTATATTCGTGAGGTTCCTGTCCTGATTTAGTTTTTCGTTTATGGCAGCTTTATAGGTGTTCATGGCTTCGTTCAGTGAGATCTTTGGTTGCCCGGTCTCATTGTCACTGAGGACTCTCTTGCATCTCAGTTTCCATATTTGCCAGGTGCATTCGGTGATGGCGATCCCGAGGAATCTGGATGCGCCGTGGTTTATAGTGCCGTTACGATTTTTGATAACGGTTAGTGGGGCAGCCATTATGTGGTATATTCCCATATTAACGGGCCAGTCTATACCTTTTATTAGGCTCATGGTTTTTATGGCAGCCCAGATGTTATGGAAATGGGATTTTCCCATTTTTAGCCTCTTATGGGCTCTATGCAGCACAATATCACGTGACATGTAAATAAGAACAAGATAACCAACTATTATCACCCAAAACACCCGATGTCCATGTTATTGTAAACACCACTGTTACAACATCTGTTACATTAATTGTAACATCTTCTCAATGTCACGGCCCCCTCCTGCACCCGAACGCTATAGAAATGGGCCAATTAGGCCCCATTTTTATAACAATGGTGTCGCAGCCGCTTCCGCTTCTGACCAGCAACCGACAATGCGGGCTTCTGTGCAGGAGTTAACCCCATCCAACTCAGCAGCTGAGGCCCTCAAGGCTGCCGAGTATCGTTACATGGTGAAGGAAATGCGGCGCGCAGTGGACGAGTTCTCACGCCTGTCCTTCTACCACGCCTGTCCCTCTCTCGACCTACTGCAAGAATGGAGGCGACTGGGTCCGGGAAACATCGAGGCTCAGTTGGTTATCGACTGGACCACTGAGTTTCTACCCAAATACCGCCTTACCCTGGAGGCTGCCCGAGAGTTCAACGCGATTTTGCAAGCATCGCGCGATTTTACCCGAACCGCATCGTTATTTGGGTATATGTCGGGTTCTTTCGAGATAGACCCAGGCAGGAAGTTCTGCAGCCGTTTGGCGACTCTGGGGCTGTCGAAGCTAAGTACCTTTCGACTGGGTTTGGAATGTTTGATCAGGAAATTCGCTGAATTTTATTTACATTTCGAACGCGTCAGCAAGGCCGTCTCCCTCCTACACCCCACCCTTCCTGACCCAGGTCTGCCACCTGGCGTTTTCCTTAACGGGGTGGACTCTTGTCCCCCGGGTCGCACGCTCAGAGAGCGCCAACCACCCTCGCTACCGGTACGCTCATTCGAGCGCCAAGTACCCGCTAGCCTGCACTTGGGCCACTCCCTGGTGGAACCTCAAACGCCCACGCTGCCGGTACGCTCTCGCGAGCGCCAAGTCACCGGTGACTCAGCCATGGACCGCTCCCTCAGCAAGCGTCAATCGTCCACGCGCACGGTACGCTCGCCCGTTGAGCGCCAAGTAGCCGTAGCCGCCCCTGCGTCGTGTAGCACCCAAGAAATGCCACGTCAGCTCGTTGCGACGTGTGCCTTTCCTGAGTCAACACGACTGGCTCTTGCCCAACCGTGTCCAGCCATCCCACCACCGATTCCATGGCATTCGCGCCCGGTAGCCCCACCCCCCTCTCCCACCACCTCTCTGCATCGTCCAACGACCTCACCACGACCGTGTCCGGCCATCCCACCGTCGATTCCATGGCATTCGCGCCCGATCCAACCGCGCCTGGCCATTCCACCCTCAATCCCATGGAATTCGCGCCCGATCACGATGTGCGCGTCGTTCACAACGCGTCATTCGCCCCTCCAACCACGTCTGGCCCCTCCCCCACATCCATCTTCGACTCCAGCGCGCCCGGCAAACGCGTTGCCGTCGTCGTCGTCGTCCCCGTCGTCATCGTCCCCGTCCCCCTCCACGCCCCCTCCCGCGCCAAATCTGGCGCGTCTATCGACTCTGACGCGTCCAGTACCACGACAGACGCGTCCTGGAGCCCCTCAGCCGTGCCCACCGTCAAAATGGGCGAGTCTGACGCCCATCCAGCCACGCACGGACCCGGTACCACTTCCCCCTCCCAGCCTTCCAAGCCGTCTGCGTCCACCGGGTGAGCCACCACCCCCGAGTCCGCGTTTGCCACTCTCAGAGCCCTGGAGGCTGGACTGTGGGGGGCTGCTGTGTGGCCCATTGGAGTCTGGGGGGGCTGGGACCCCTTTTTTTTTTATTATATTTTCTTAAAATTTTTCATAAAATTTATTTCTTAATCTAAACCTTGTGCCAAGCTTTCCCACCGGGTTTTGGTGCTGGCCAAGGGAATTTTTCTGTATTGTGGGGCTTCTCACAACTTTTCTTTCTTTTCTTTTCTTTTCTTTTCTCTTGTTGATGTCCTGCACAGAGACCCATAAGAGCCTGGGGGGCGATGTTATGGAAATGGGATTTTCCCATTTTTAGCCTCTTATGGGCTCTATGCAGTACAATATCACGTGACATGTAAATAAGAACAAGATAACCAACTATTATCACCCAAAACACCCGATGTCCATGTTATTGTAAACACCACTGTTACAACATCTGTTACATTAATTGTAACATCTTCTCAATGTCACGGCCCCCTCCTGCACCCGAACGCTATAGAAATGGGCCAATTAGGCCCCATTTTTATAACACCAGAGTTTTGGGCCCTGGTTGTGTGGGCACTTGAAGATAATGTGGTTCATCGATTCTAGGGCATTGTAACGGGTCTATCCAACTAGACTCACAACAGAAAAGAGGGGGGATAAGGATCTCACTACAAGTCAGGTCTGAAGTGGGGTATATTGGTCCTCTCGGGTGTGGTGCTGATACTCTCTACCAAACTGTACAGCGGGTCATGGAAGAGTCTGATAGACAAAATAGGAAAGAATATCACATGACAATAAGAAAATGGAAACATCGGCCTCTAGACATCGGAAATGGAAACAGAAAAATTAGGAAAAATAGGAAATGTGTGTAAAGAGTGTGAGGGGATATAGGCTACATGTGATGGATGTGAGGTGCTTGCTGAGGGTGGTAGAATCGCGGGATTTGGCTCGTTTAGGGTACACCGGCAAATCCCTGTTACAGCGTTACACTTAACGCATTGACCTCTGTCTTCATAGCCTGGGATTTTGCTCCAGTAGGTGCCATCTTTGTGGGCTCCATGGACAAGTTTCCACAGGAAGTTTCTGAGGTTGGGGTTCTGTTGTAAAGACTAGTCAGTTAGTGACGTAGTGCTTGCAGCTACACTCGTGCTATAACGAAGGGACCTGAGGTAAGACCAAAAGATGATCTTTATTAAGCCTAGCTAATTGTGTATTTATACTACATTGGGGCTATGCTATAGATCGACGGACGCACGGTGTAGGAATATAAAAGTTACAACACTAAAACAACCAGAAACCATCACAAAAAATTGGATAAAAATCATACAACCTCCACGGACCAGAAATAAAAATAGGAATAAAATCATAACTCAACAAAATGAATTGAAATAAAATATCGGAAAAATAATGAAGAACAGAGTCGATGGATTGAGTATCTACGCGAACTTTCAAGTCTAGGGATTAAAAGATGGTTCAGAAAATGAAGAAAAACAGCAAATAAACTCACATGAAAACAAAAACAAGGTTTCCTGTATCAAATAAAATATTAGAAATTCGTGGTAACGTGGGAAAATAGTTTTACGAACGTACGAAACGAATGACAAAGAGAAATCGGAAGGAAATCAAGGCATTCATATAATGAAAAATGGTCGGGTACGAGGAAAAGATGAAAGAATTGGAAATATCTATACGGGGAAAATAGGAAAAAAATATGAATCTTTGTCGGTCTTAAAGAGTTGAAGTATAGGTCTGTGTACGAAAAGATTTCATGTTAAAATCTGAAGAATTGAGGGAGAAATGGATTTAACAAGATTAAAACACACTTGCAGAGAAGACTGGCTCAAACATCCTGAGTTTGTGGTTAAAACGGATGAGCTAGAAATGCGAAATTAAATAGTTTGAGTCCAGGAACGAGGCATAATTTATCCAGAATTAATTGTAAGAAAATGGATGAGCTAATGCCAAAGCAATCTGGAGAACCTCAAAATTAAATCTTGAAAAATTCATATCTTCATAAATAATCCTCGTAGTTTACTGTTGTTTATACCGACGGAAAGCTACACCCTTAAGCTAACAAATAACCCCATGACATGTGACCTAGAATAAAGTGAGTAAACAAGGGTAAACAAGGTCATGATGGGTGTTAGGCAATGCAATTGGCTAATTCCCACACCAAAACTTCCAGAAAGTTCTAGAAGCAGAATGGGATGCTGATCACTTACATAAGAGGATTGCTAAGCTCAATATAAGATTACTCAGCAATGTAAATAGTAAAGTGACATGTGAAAACAGAGCCCTTAGGAAAGGTATAAAAGACCGCATTTTCTGGTCTGACCCCTCTTCCTTCTTTACTCCTCTCCCCTACGTGCTCTGGCTCATAGGTCATAAGGCGTCCTAATAAAAATTAAGTTTTATTAGTATAAGTGTGCAGTTCAGATCACATCTGAGTAAAAGTGATCAACCCTCAGTAAAAAGTTAAGAAGAAGTTAAGAAATAGTGACGTTGAGTCAAGACGGTTGGAGTCGCTCCGAGTTAAAAGTGACAAGACAGAGGTGAAACGACTAAAAATAGTAGGTCTATAGCGCGATTTTCGTGTGGAACAATCAGGTAGACAAGTGAATTGAACCCTGAGAGTTACATAGACACACAAACAATTAGTAACACATACAAATATCAATACACAAAGCAACCAAAACGCTACAGTGGTTGAGTTAAAGTACCAATACTAACATATAAGTATCAGAAGAAAGAACAGCCTTTTATAGGATTTCTGTTCTCCTCCTTCACCGTATACTTTACCAGGTACCGGAGTTTTTGGCATAGCCACTTAGAGTCCAGGATTTTCTCGACCTCATACTCCTCTTCTCCATTTATGAGGTCTGGGCCCGGGCGGGGGTCAGCGGGGCGTTGTAACGGGTCTATCACCACTAGACTCGAGACAGAAGAGAGGGGGAGGGTTGGAGTGGTCGCATGCACAGGTTTGTTAACTGGGTGTGGATTCCGCTACTCCTCACTGTCTAGCTAACTATACAGCTGGTCACGGTATCACGGAAGAGTCCGGTAATGACAAATAAGGAAAGAACAATAAGAAGGGGAAACATCAGGTGGAAATGGAGTCAGAAAAATCAGGAAAAATAAGAAATGTGTAGGAGGGAACATTGGCTAAGGGTGGTAGAATCACGGGATTTGGCTTGTTTATGGTACACCAGAAAATCCCCGTTACAGCATTCCGCGATTTCATCAGGGCGGTGCGGTCTGATGTTCGTCACGGATACAACTGGGTGGATCCCTCTCTGTCGGGCAGTGAGCCGGAGTTTGACGGCAGCGGGGGAGATGACTTTAACGATCGTGAAGGGGCCAGTCCATTTATGGTCTAGCTTCTTGGTTGGGCAATCAGTTGTATAGTTCTGGGTGCTGAGCCAGACCCGGTCGCCTTCTTGGTACGTAGGGGCCGCCTCGCAGTTCCGGTCATAGTAGCGGGCCATCTCGTCCGCTGCATGCTCTAGCGCTGCCTTCGCCTCTTCCTGCATCTTCATCATCCTCGATGAGAAGGCATCAGTGGCTTCTACCTCGGATGTGCATGTGGGCTCTGTCCCCATCCTGGGGTGTTGGCCAGTATCGAGCTCGAAAGGGGTACAGCGAGTAGAGGAGTGGATGCGGTTGTTATAGGTGAACTCCGCTAGCGGGAGCCAGTCTGCCCAATCATCTTGGCGGTGGTTGACAAATACCCTAAGGTAGGCTTCCACTTCTTGGTTTACTCGTTCCGTCTGCCCATCTGTTTGGGGGTGATAGGGGGTCGAAGGGGTGAGCTTGATGCTGAGGAGGTCCGTGAGTTCTTTCGAGAAGCATGAGACAAAGGCGCTCCCTCTGTCACTGAGGATCTCTTCCGGGAGGCCGTGGTGCTTCCAGACGTGTTCGAGGAAGAGCTGTGCGATTCCCACCAAGTCCACCGTTGTCACTGTTGGGATTGTGTGGATGCGTTTGGATAGGCGATCCACTACGACCAGCACGGCATTGTAACCCTTTGACTTGGGGAGTTCTCCAATCATGTCCACCAAGATCACTTGCCAGCAGCGAGCGGGGATCTTGTTCGGGGTGAGCTTCCCCACTTTACGGGAGGGGAAGGATTTGACACAGTTGCAGATGTCGCATCCGCGTACGTACTGCCCGACATACTCCGCCATCCGTGGCCACCAGTAGTTGCGGGAGATGAGTTCCAGGGTTTTCCACCACCCTGGGTGCCCCATCTCCCGCGTGTCATGGTGGAACCGCACCAAGTCATGGCGGAGTTGTGGGTCTTTCGGTACGTATACCTTTCCTCTGTACAGAACCAGCTCTCCTTGCCTCTCCCACTCATCCGACCTCAGCGTGCCTTCCCCAAGTTCTCGCATCGCCTTCACCACCTTCTCATCTAGGTCTTTTGCCCTGCTGATCCTCTCAAGGATAGTCATCTCTTCGCCTTCCACTAAGACCGCTGTAGGAGAAATAATATTCAAAGAATAAAACAATGATCTATCAGAATAGTCAACGAACAGGTGACAAGTTCAGACGTTTAACAGATCTCATGATCTTTATGAGACTGGACAGACATTAGATCATTATAAATTATCTACACCCATGTAGTATGAGATTTAATCTACTACAATCATGCCTAGAACTTGGCATAGGTGTAATATTCAAAGAATATAACCCTACAACAAGAAAATAGCACATAGATGGCAGAATAAGAAGGAACATTGGGAAAGAAATGTGAATATCTCGGGAACCAGTAAACTTTTGACTGTAATCTTTTTACCATCTGAAAGGACTGTTTCTTAACTTTATACACGGTTTTGTTTCATTCTAAAAGCTTCAAAACTGACGGAGATATCGCTCAAAAGGCGAAACACCTTATAATTCATATATATTTATTTGCTAATTCTTACAAAAAGTAATGTGACTCAAGGGAAATATATTGGCGCCCGGAAGTCTGGCGGACCGAATACCATATG